TTTCTTCGGCTTGCCAATGCATGGCTCCCGCTTGCATTGATACAACAGACTGGCCAGCCTCGACACCTCTACGAATTTGTAGAAGGTCATCACCTGCATGGATTGTGCAACGGGTGGCCGGTTTTGCGATGCTGGCATTGCAAGAACCGGGCCATGAACAGCGTCCCCATGCCAAACCTGGGCATCAGCGACTCATCACGAGGCTACAAGCTGACACTGTTCTAAGGTCCCGGCCACTGCATGGCGTAGTTAAAATGAGTATGCTCGTCAGCCCAGAACAACAAGTAGTCCTTCAGATGTTAGCCAGACGGATGTTTCCGGACAAATGCTCAGACTGAGAGGAAAGGTCACGTGACCTCCTTGTGCTTCATCGTGTATGGTAGCTGCCGGCGGAAGCCGGCCCGGAAATCATCCTCCAAATTTTGGAGGAAGCTCTTTTCAGGGGTTTTGAGGCGCAGGTTTTGAGTGTGGTTGTTGAAACTTCGGGTTTCTCGTCTTCCCGTGCAAACGAGGAAACCTCATCGAAAGAAAAGCTGGGGGACGGAAGGAGACCCCTCCTGAGCATCCTAGCATTTCTCCAACCTCGGTTTAACTTGCATGTGTCTTCGCTTTTTACAGCACGCTGCCAGGTCTCTGACGCAGGCTTCCGCTTTGATACACCCTGGGCACTTGGATGTTGCCCTGGGTGCGAAAACCATGCAAAGCTGGTCAGATGAGGAGCGCATGTTTCGGGCTGGGTGATGTGCAACGCATGTAGAGGTGCGTTGGTGTTGTGGACAGTAATGTCTGAGGGTGACACATGTGAGGGCACATGCAGGGCTCAGCGTCGGCGGCTACGGCTTCTGTCGGAGGAGCGGCGGCGACGGTCCTGATGAATGATGTCTTGAAAGCACCCTAAGAACAGCAAGTAGGGTTCAGGAAGACTGGTATCCAACCTGGTAGGCACTCGCACTGTTTCTGCGCTAAATATGCGTGACATCTCCGACATGTGTAAATGATGTAATCGGCTGCACACAAGCTGAGACAGGCCGTCCCCGTCTGCACTTCTGCGACGCCTCCGGGGACACATGAGGGTTGAGATATTTGCTCGACTGTGCGATTTGTGGAGGCCGCATCCTTCCCCAGACCCCCGGGAGGATCTAGAAAGTACATCCCCAATTTTGGGGCCCTATACTACTAAGGGTACTTTATCGGAACCCCCATTAAGGGATCTGCTTTTTGGATCCTCCCGGAGGTCTGGGTCAAAACTCCAACAGATGTGTGCAGCAGTGGGCACATATGGCCTATCTCGATCATCATCACGAGCATCACGGCTCCTTCCCAGGCAGAGTTTGAAGTGAAATCGTCATGCACATGTTTCTCCAAGCCCCGCCTCCTGCTGCTTCGGCGATCGCGGTCATCGCGGTCACGACCACGGTCTCTCCGGTCTCGATCCCCGTTGCGGTCGCGGTCGTCTTCGTCCCTATTGCGACCACGGTCTCGACGGCTTCGATCCCTGCGGTCGCGATCGTCATCGTCCCGGTCGCGGCGACGGTCGTCATCGTCGCGAGGGCGGCGAGAGCCGCTGCGCCCACCGTTGTCCCGATCTCGGTCTCCATTTTTCTCGTCCTGGCGACAAAACTTGCTGTGTATGTCATGCTGCTTTCAGAGCACAGCAGCGGATTTCAGCAACCCTGGCAAGACTCCTTGTCTTTCGCTTTGTCATCTCCATCTGACCGCGCCTTGATAATTTTTTCGTACTCAATCCTTATCTGCTGCGCTGATCGGAATGGCATTCCATTTCGACAACCACGTGTGCCAAGCAGAGCTGTAAAACCCGAGTTATAACAGAAAGACACCAGGACCAAAGCTCTTCCTGTCCGAGGCACTGCTTTTCTCGCAGTTTGACGTAGTTTTTGTGGTAATCGGACTCCGGGTGGATGTCGGGCTTGTACTTCCCTCCCTCGGTTTCTCGAACGTTGATGTCCGCAAAGCGGAGCTTGTACTTCAGGCCACAGATCTCGCAGAGCCGGTCCTGGGAGGCGTTCATCAGAATCTCATGTAGGCGCCTTCATAATGAGAATCGGGTTTTGGGGGGATAGCTATACTATAATTGTAATAAGGTGCGCCTCCAATCTAGTAGTGGTAATTATTTATGCCTATCTATTGGGTCTGTAGGTGCTTCGGAAGGCTTCGGGCACATGACTTGAGAGTCCTGGTCCGTCATGACTGCGATGCCCTCAGCATGCCTGATGCACCCAGAGAGACTACTTTTATGCCGTGTGCGACTTCAGGGAGGTGTGCCACAAGTACTGCTCGAAGGCAGCAAACACTAGTGGACAGAAAGATCTCATGGCTTTCACAGCGGCTCTCATGCGTCTGTCCATCCTCGGCTTGAGTGGGATATCTTCCGGGCCAGCATTCGTCCGATCAACTCAGAGCGACTTGGTCAGGCAAGTTACAGGAGTCGTTGTGAAACAGCGGGCCTCAATCTTTTAGAATGGTGAGGGGTCGTGGAAGGCGGAAGGTCGTGGCACTCCCGGTGGCAACGCTTGCTTTTCCAAGAGTCTCGGTTTTGCCCTGGGAGCTTAGACGAGTCTGAGTTTTGCCCCGAGCAAGGCCTGCGCTTTTCTCGTGCCACCTGCAGACAAGTCAACGAGAAAAAGCATCAGCGAGAGAGGGAGAGGGACAGAGACGGAGAGAGCCCGATCAAACGGAGCGAAAGGCTTGACGGAGCACCTTGTCCTCAACTTCTCTGATGCCTTTGTCGATAAGATGGAGGAGATCATCCTCATATCTACCTTAGTTAGCATTAACTGGAGAAATGTCAGGCGCCAGCCGTGCCTGTGGTGATTGATCCCAGCCTCTGCCAGCTCGGGCCGATTCTTGCGGGTGAAAGTTAGATGTCGAATCCTACTTTCCAGCACCGTCTTTGGCAAAAGACAACTGCACAGGATTTGCGACTTTGGCGCAATGGACGGGCCTCCCACCTCAGGAAGCGCACTGAGGCTCGAGCTGTTGTGCAGAGGCCCCTTGTGTGCATTGTCACGACTACAGGTCAAGACGGTGGGTCCTGGGGAAGCTATGACAGCCAAGGTTCACAGAACTGCTCCTCAAAAACCTGCGAATTCTGTCTTTCTGCTTGGACATCGGAGTTTCGACTCTCGGACCCGCTTTTGCAGACCACCGTGCCAAAACATGGCTTGGCTTGTAGCGAAGCTGACAAGCTCTGAAGACAAAGAGCTCCGAAAGACTACACGCTTTCGCAGTGAACTCCAGCTGCCGCTCTGGCCACTTTGACTTTTCTTAGTGTCCGCCTCCGCCTCGGCGTCATCGCAGGACCAAGTCCCAGGAGCGACGCTCTCTTAGTGAGGTCTACCCGGTCTATTCCAAAACAGGGTGAGCCTTGGCTCCTTCCTCTAGCCGTCTACAGACGAAGGCAATCCCATTTTGGAAGAAGCCGACCAGTTCTCGACAACCACCCTGAACACAAACGAAGTGCCTGAACGAACGCAGCCAGCGATGCTATTTTGCTCCGAGTTTCGTGCGATCGCCCTAGCACATGAAAAGCAAACGGAGATGCATGAAAAGTGTCATCCAGCTCAGCTGCGTTTATATTTCTGATAGTCTTTGTGGGCTTTGAACTCCTCTCTGACTCCGATCGAATGGAGCTTGTTACCTCAGTAGCCACTCGCTCGGCCAGAAGACCCAAGAGAGCAAAGACTGAGGGCCCTGCAGGGAGGGATCACGCTCTTGGGGTCAAACTCCGCCCGGAGCTGAGCAGGACCGGTAAACTCTTCGTGCGTATAGGGATGGCAACCAGTAGCTCCCGAATCAAAAGCCGGGTGTAAACAACACACAACACAAGCATCCAGTTCAGAAGCTTTCCGCCAAGAACTTGCGAGGCAGCACTTCAGAATCTGCACTGCAAGGCCCGCACACTCTCGACTTCTCGGCCCAATGTTTTCCCCGGGCAGTACCCAACAAGGAAGAACTTGCAGTAATCGTCCTGCCAGAGAGGCATTGCTGTCTCGAGCGCAAGTGTCATGTTTATCAAAGGCGCAGTGCAAAGATTTGGCAGTCCTTCTTGAACTCAGGCTCACCTGAAGCAGCAACATCTCGTGCGTTGAAGAACTCTACACTGCGCACACAAAGAGGCTCGTAGCTTTGCCATCGCTTCAGGCAGGGCTGGTGCTAGAGTTACACCTAGAAGAACACTGGCGTCCACATTCCAAGCTTGCACCTCGCCCACTTGGTTTGAAGTGCTCCGCTCAGGGTGGAGCCACCAACCGGAGCACGTTTGCTTGCAAGGGCCGCGCCGCAAGCCGGAACAAGCGGGTCTCCATCGAACGATTCCGGACACGAATCACTGTCTGGATACAGCGGCAACAATCCGACAGCATTCGTGCAGGAGAACACTACATGCACCGCCACTGTAAGGTCAGGACTGTTGAGCTTATCCTTTTTGGAAGCATCGCGGTTGGCGCCTTGATATGCAGCAAGCGAGTTCAAGCAGTCTGGATCGAACGAGATATCTTCTCACGCCGCGAAGCCCATGAGAGCATCGAGAAGAGCTTTGTTGCGATTCATGGCCCAATCTGCTGCCGAGCTCGAAGGCTTCAAGGCAAACGCAGGCTCCTTGGTGGACTAAAGGACTATGGGAACTGGAGGCTACAGGAGATATGCTGCATGTTACCATGTTGCGGCATGGACTTTTTGTTATCCCCTCATGTGACAGCTGATGTGAGGCTGAGAGCCCAGGTGTCCGAATCCTGCCGGTGTTGGTTGCAGGGTGTTGCAATGCTCGAGAGCTTGTGACCTGTGTTAGCAAATCCTTTGAGAACAAGTCGAACGCTGCAAGGTTCAGGTTCGAAGCGCAGAGCTTGCCTCTTTGAGTTCTGCCTCTTGTAAATTCATTCCAAACTGTCTCAAATGCATATGTCGTGCATCCGTGCTCATAGCATGACACGCATGAACAGCACCCTGTGTGATGAAGGAAACATGAACTTAGTTCAAGAGGAGCTGCAAACTAATCTGCTGGAGCTCACCTGTCATGCAACGGCTTCTGACCAAGCAATTGCAGCGCATCATGGAGTGGTTGGGTGGTGTCAGCAAGCGACGGGTCCTCATATTCTGACTCTGATCCGGTTCTTGTACAGGGAAGCTCAGGTTCCAGGGACATCTGTTTGATGCTATGTCTCCGACAGGATCTATTATATTACATATTATCATATGTATATTACATCATATACGATATTATACATTATATTATATATTTTATATTGTATTATATTATTCAATCCGCATGGCCATGTCAAGGACCCGAAGAGCCAACGGACAACTTTGACTTTGCTACAAAGAACTCCCTAATTCCTACATCCAGATGTCGCAGACCTTAGTGGCCACGGCTGGCGCAGGGTGCTCAGTTCGGGATCAAAGGCTTCCAACTCCAGAAGAACTAAGAGGCTCTGGAGGGTTGCAGGTGTCGACCTTCAGCCACTACTACTCGAGACATCCAACGAAACAGAAGACACCATGAACCACACAAGATGGGCCGCATGGCAGCTTCTGTTTGCTGGCGGAGTAAGCAAGGTAAGTGTAAGTATAACAACTGCCAGTCGCAAACCTAAATACAATAACCAATAACTCTCACGACTGTTACGATCCATGAAGCCCCAAGCAAACTCACACGCATCCATACGCAAACAAAGACAGCCTTGTAACCCCTACTTCATCATCTTACTGAGATATACTCCTTACAAATCAGACCAAGAGCCCCTCGACATGCTCCTCCCTGCGAGTCCTAGTGCCGAAGGATCCTACAGCAATGAGGACCTCAAAGAAGGACCGCAACAGTTGTTCTGGGGCCAAAGAAACAGAGGCGACAGCACTGTAAGTGTAGCAGATTCTTCGACGCGCTCTAAGAAGGATCCTCATTTAGCCCCCACTCTGCCAGGTGGCTGGAAAGCCTGCCGGGCTGCCTCTGATGAGGCTTTGCTTCTTCTTTTGATCCGTCTGAAGGCCTTCTAGGATCAGGCTTGTCTAAGTGACAGGGTCGAGTAGGAGTTTTGGTTGGCTCTGCTCAGAGAGAGGGAGAGCCACACACTTCTTCGACAGTCTTCCATAGAGCCTCAGTCTCAGCTTTGACTTTGAAGTCCGGCTTGGCTGAACCCGTCACCGGATCATCCGCTTCGTAAAGTCTGAAAAGCCGTTGAACAACAAGCGAATACATCTGGACTGCATGGCCCCAAGCACACGGACAAGACCAAGATTCACGTAAGAAGGAAGTTCCCTTACTTGGCCACTGCTCGAAAGGCTTTCCTTTTGGCCTGGTTGCGTCTCTCAAGGCGCCGTGGGCAGAACTGTCCGTGAGCTCCTTCCTACCCTGCTAGGAGCCAAGGCAGCATGCTGGCCGGCAGCTTGGGCTTGGGCTTCGAGCTTTTGGCCTAGACCTAGATTCTATGAGGCTCTGAAGGTTACGGGGAATGCTGATGCTGTGCTCTGGGTTGCTGGAAGAGGGCAGCAGGGCCCCAAAACCCCTGCTTGGCTGATTGCAGGGCTTCCGAGACTGCAATACATCATTCCCGGGCTCCGAAGCGATGCGACAGGGAAGCAGAGAGGCCCCCCTTGTCCTTCATTGTCTTTTTTTTTTACTATGCCACTTCCAAAAGCACTGCAGAGAGGGAAAAAGTCAGCACTGCAGCCTCGTAGAGAACGTCAATGGCCGTCACCAGAGCCTAGCAGCAAGTTCCCGCGAAGGTGGTCCAATCTCGGAGTTCAAGGACTTATATGGGCCTTAATGAATAGAATAGGGTTTTGGGGCCCGCTATACCATACTTATAACAAGGAGCCCCCCAACATAGCATTGGTACAAATTTCGGCCCCTCTCTTACATAGGCCCTTCAGGGCCCTCTGTAACATATCTCGGCCTTGGGGCACCTGTGGCTGTGACCCTCTGCACTGAAAGATCTCAAGGACGGTACAAAACCACACGGCTCAGGAACCTGGCATGAGTTGGGCAGTTGTTGGCGAAGGTGGCTGTCATGTATCTATCCATTTAGTGAACGTTTTGTCTACATCAAGGGGATCTCTCTCTACATATGTACCTGTATACGCTATATATGCATATACAAACAAGTAAGTGTTGCTGATATCTGGATACCCTGGACGGCCTGGCTGCACTCTTCGTGATTCCGGGCATTGGCGTTCTCGGCCAACTCCGGGGCGATGAGGTAGAGGAACTGCCGCCAGGAAGGGGTCTTCTAAACTGGAACAGGCCTCTTTTCCGTATAGGGACTACGAAGGACCGATTACTGTCGAGGCGTCTTTTCAAGCAGAGATCATCATCAAAAACCAAACTCGAATGCAACGGCACTTAGAGCTCCAGGCAGTGCACGGATCATCTGCAGAAGCAGCTCTGAGTCTCTGAGTGTAGTGTCAAGGACCACAAAGAAGTCTGACCCGAGTCACCTCAGGAGTTTCATTCACCGAATCCTTGGGAAATCAGCGTTCCGATCCGATCCATTCCTGGTTCGATGGGAGCAGTGGGCCAGTCAATAGCATGCTAAGGCAAATCTGCGCAACCTCGCAAGTACAAGCCCCTTGGCAAGTAGAATCGTGCGAGAGGCTGCTGTACGGCACAACACAGCTCTGAAGCTTTATCCTTGGACTCCCAAAGCCCTCTTGAGACCGAGAACTCTTCGGGATGCCGTCGCCTGGTTCTTGTCGGGCCGGTTCTTGACTCGAGCATACCTGGCCAAGCTCGATCTTCGGGGAAGCCGACATGCTGACAAGGCATTGCCCAAAAACACACGCAGATGTGGCAACCGGAAGATCCGTCGTTGCTGGGTCAGAGAGATACCTCGCGTTGTTTACTGACCTGATTAGTGTGAACTCCCAGAGCCCGGAAATGCTCCGTCTCGACTTGGCGCTGCAGACATTTCACTGGTGAGGCTCGGAGGTTACGGTGGAGTTACTGTATCGGGCCATGATGCATATCAGAGAGGGGCAAAGCTGCTAAGCTTTAAGACGAGGTCCTGACATGGACTGCAAGTAATTTAGACCAGCACAGCCTTTGCCATTTTAGGCTCGGAAGTTCAGGGCTTGGGTCCAGAGTGTAGGAGAACGGCGCATGGGTTTGGAGCAGTTTTGAACAGGTCGTGTAAGGCGCTTCCCAAGTTGGGCGAGACGTAAACTCTAGTTTACTTCAAGCCCTTAGAGTCTCGGTTCATACCTGTGACTCCCAGGATGCAGTTCACCTCGAAACCCTCAGCTCATTGGTTCCTGTTCCACTAATCCGATTCTTCCGCGTGAATGTCTGACGTAGGGCAGAAAATCCAATGCCGAAGCTACAGAGTTCCCATAATTTTCATCTTGAACGTACTCGTAGTCTTAGTCTTCTTATTCCGGCGACTGCCAGTGTTAGTGCTATCTAATTCACTGTGGTTGGTAATTTTGCTAATCTTCCGACTACCCATATCCTTCGAACTGAATCCAGGAACAAAGCCCCTGGCAGGCATTCATTCGCCAAGCACTATTGCCCCGTACACTCCTAATCATATGTCTAAGTCCAAGATCCGAACCCCTAGACCCTCATGCATTAATTAGTCCAATATGTAAATCCTCAACCCTGGCATGAGTTTTGAGCATAAGGAAAGCATGCCGCTTACTCTACGCCACTCTCACCATGCCTGAGCTACACTTGAGAAAAGGCAATCGGCCTTCACTCAACAAAATACCCGAGGCCTCAGACACGTTGCAACCACAAGTTGGGAATTTCCGGACCCTAATAGAGTACCTTAAATAGTAGGATCCCTATTATAAGCACCCCTAAAAAGGTACCCCTAATTTCGGAAACTCCCTACCATAATCCCCATTACAGAACCCCTATAGATCCCTTATAGTAACCCTTTAAAGGGACCCTGAAATACCCCTAATTTTCGGAAACTCCCACATCCCCTGGCCAGGCCTTCCGATTAAATTCGGAATTTCCCCCTCCTCGAGGACTCCGCGCACTCGGACCCATCTGGGCGAAGGATCACCGAGGGATCGGAGCTGAATCTTGGGACTGGGGATCCACTTAAAGGATCATGGGACTTAGTAACTAGGGTTATAAATAGTGTAACTCTACTTCTGGCTACCTATAACCCCAATTAAGGTACTTATAGCCCTACCCTACTTACTAAGTCCCATGACCCTCCAAGTAATCTAGGGGCCCTAACAGTTAGAACAGGGTTCTGGGGCCCATTACACTACAGAAAAAAAGGAAAACACCCAAAAATAGTATTAGCAACTATCAAGGCCACTATATTGTTGGGATGGGGCACTTAGGGTCGAGGTTTCGAAATTTAGCACTTGGAGGCTGGGGGTCTGGGCGCAGTTAAGTCTTCACGTGTTGAGGTCTCGGAGTTCGGGGCTTCAGGTCTGCTATCCGAAGCCTCATTGCCACAACATGTTCCGCCCCGCCCCAACTCCGAAACCTTCATCTCAGTTGCGCAGCATCCGGACCCCAGAACACCAAAAACGTGCTGTTGACAGAGAAGCCTGGAACCCTTGGAAAACTATCACTTCCCACTTTCTGAAAGTCCTTTGGAACTGCCGGGGCCCCGGCGTGGGCACTTCAGGACGGGTGGCCCGGTCGAGGCGGTGGGCAGGCAAATGTCCGCGGTTGACCATAACCGTGGACCCGTCCTCACAGCTGCAAGAAGCTTTAGTTTACAAGGGCTGGCAGAGGTGTTTTCAGCTAAGGCATTGTCATCGCCCTCAGAGATCGCATGATTGAGGCTATTTCAACATAACAGCCCCGTTTGCTTCTCGCGTGCATTCCTACGAGCTTCAGCTTTCGAGGCTTTGATATGGTTCAACGTCTTTCATCCTTTCAAGCTCTGTCCTCAAGCCTCATCGACTCACATTGTGAGACTCTTCGCATAAACTCTTTCACCAGCAAGAAGCAGAAACCACGAGAAATGCGGCGCAAGCTTGCTGGGGAAGCCTAGGCTTTCATATCATCCCTAAACCCTAAACCCCAAAATCCCTAGACCCCAACATCCCGGATAACCCCATATAACCCCTCACGTCAGCGCAACGGATGTCCTCCAGGCGCAGTGGCGTCACCACGAGGACTCCCGGGGTGGTCTCACCCGACTCGTCGGCTCCGGGTCGGGGGCCGACGTGCATCTCCTCGGTGACGGAAGGAGTTTCCGAAAAATAGGGGTGCCAAAGAAGGATCCCCTTAAAGGGGGATCCCTTTAAAGGGTTAAGGGGGATTATTGTAAGGAGTTTCCGAAATATAGTGGTACTTCTAAGGATCCCTTTAAAGGGCTCATGGGGATTATTGTAAGGAGCTTTCGAAAATTAGGGGTACCTAAGAAGGATCCCTCTAAAGGGCTAAGGGGGATTTATTGTAAGGAGTTTCCGAAATATAGTGGTACTTCTAAGGATCCCTTTAAAGGGGCTCATGGGGATTATTGTAAGGAGTTTCCGAAATATAGGGGTACTTCTAAGGAGGATCCCTTTACAGGGTTAAGGGGGATTATTGTAAGGAGTTTCAGAAAATTAGGGGTACTTCTAAGGAGGATCCCTTTAAAGAGGGATTATTGTAAGGAGTTTCCGAAATATGGGGGTACTTCCAAGGATCCCTTTAACGGGCTCATGGGGATTATTGTCGGGAGTCTCCGAAATTTAGTGGTGCCTTTTTCTGGGGTCCTGATCATATAAGGATCCTACTATTTAGGGAGTCCCCTATTTCTGGAAACTCCCAATTGTTGCATGCTTAGTTAGGGTCTTGATTGGATCTTTGCGGGTGCTTTCGGATAAAGGGCTTCAGGATCGCTAGAATCTAGCAGTTCAGAGGGACGGCAAGCAAGACATGTTGGAGTCAAGATGGCTTTAAGGCGTTTTGGGTTTTTAACCTCTGGAAGAATGCTCCCGCTGAGATCTGCACATTGTTGTGGTCAAAGACCCCACGGACCTGCAGGGGAAGGTGCCAGTAACGATCTACTGCGCCTAAACATGTAGTTTGAGGTGACGAAGCACGGCTCAACAGCCTGTACTATGCTTCCTCAATGGGACTGCCTCCACCACGCGGTAGATGAAGTCTGGAACCTGATGTCAAGTTCGATGAAGCTTCGGATGTCAGGGCCCGTCGTAGCAAGGTCAGTAGCGAGGCGTGGGGTGTAGGAGGAGAAATGTACTCATACCTTTCAGCTCACACCTCACACGATTCTCTAAGTAGGCCTTGAACCTCAACTCCTTAACTACTGCTGAACCGCCACAGCTTTTAGCCATTGGTTCCAAGGTGAGGACCGCCGTTCTGCATGGGAATTAACACCCGAAAAAACTCGACGCAGCCTGCACGAAACGCTTGCTTGCAAACCTAGGTCTTCGGCTGGCAACCCTGACATGGGTGCTTACGATCGCGTACAGCTCTCGCATTGGCCAAATTGATCGTCTCTTAGTTGCACCACTTTACCCAGTCCCTGAAGGATACAAACATCTAGCTGCCCAAAAGCGTCCTACTGTCATGCAGGGCGAGATGGCGTGCTTTTCAAGGACTCTCTTTTTCCACCTATAGGCAACCACCAGTACTGAGGCCCCAAATCCTGAACCGCTCATCGAAAGGCTTGTGGGCATCTCTGTGCTCAAAGACTCATAAGCCTCAGAAGTCTTCTTACCTTTATGTAGGAATGCGGTACAATCATAACTACTATTACTACCATTCTTCCATTCCCTACTAACCAAAGGCAAGCTATAGGATTACTAAGGCCCCCATATTATAGTACCCTTATAGATCCCCTTATAGTAACCCTTATAGACCTTCTTCCATTCCCTACTAACCAAAGGTAACTCTTCAGGGAAGCTTCGCAAGTCATGGCTTTAGTGAACTTTCGAGCCGGCTTCAGAGAGAGACACCCGTTGCTACGAGGGCAGTCGAGCTGGGCTACTTGGAGGTTCATGGGTAGTTTTAAGTAGGGTTATAAGTCCCCTAATATAGGTTAGAGCCATAGTTATCGTGCTTATAACCCTACTTCTAACTACCCATGAACCTCCAAGTAGTGCGGTGTCCAGATTAACTCTGCTACAGACTTAAAGCCGTGATGGCTTCTAGCATGCCTGGCCGTGCTTTCCGATCAACCACGCGCCCTGAAGTCCTTCGGTTCATGCCTACAAACCTGTAACCCGAAGGCCCTACAGCTCTATAACCCTGAATTCGAAGCCCTAAACCTTCTTCTCCTGGCTTCTGCCCAAACCGCTGCAACCTAAATCAGCAAAACACCACATATAACCTCCTCCAAAGTTGTCTATTAGCAAACCCTATGTGCACCCTATACAGTCCTATGGGGCGGCGCCTGGTCCTTCCACGGAAAGGGGCTGCCCGTGACCTGAGGCATCGGGACACAAGCTCTGCAAGCGTGAGAGAGGCCTGAAGAAAAAGAAAAAATACTGTTGTTTTCGGGTTCCTTAAAGTAACTATACAGGAAAACACCAGAAGATGTAGACGTGTGCTTTACAGAGAGTATACAGACTTCAAGATTGCTTGTTGCAGGATCCCTTCTTCAGGGAATTCGACTCCCAGGAGTATTGCCCTGTAAAGGGCTTTTGTAATCACTGAGGCTCTGAAGTTCTTGCATACCCAAGCCAGCCATCATACTGCAAGCTGCCCCTTTGCAATGCGGGCTTACTACTTGGAGGTTCATGGGTAGTTATAAGTAGGGTTATAAGTAGGATAAGTCTACTTTTCACCATATTAGGGGCTCCAAGTACACCAAAGTAAGACTACAAACCTGAAAGCGACAGCAACTACGGAACTTGAGGTCCTACTCCATCTCGCGAGGAGCCTGGATGCGAGGCATGGCCAAACGCTGGCGCCGCATCTCAATCAGTTCCTTCTTCCACTTCATCCTGGAATCAGAGGTAGTTCAAGCCTTGGAGCCTTTTGGCGTAGGCAGGTTAAAAGGTGGAGCAATAAGCAGCTGAGATGCAGAAGGTCGCGACTTACACCTTGAAGATGTCTTGAAATCCCTGACAAGTTCCACGCCCTGCAGAAACAGAAACAAGTCACTCCCATTCTCAAGATGGCGACTGCGAAGGCCCCAGACCTGAAAACTAAAGTCCAGAAGCAAACCTTGAGGCTGCAGAATCTAGGACATCAACGTGACATCAACTCAAACCAATCCCTGACTTGACTTTATGAAGAACCCAAGTCAGCATGTCTTTCTGAAGAACCCAAGTCAGCATGTGGCTTCTAGCTACGGCCGTTTCCAGGCATCTTGCTGCTCAGGGTCTAGACTTGGGCCATTTGTATCCAAAAGGCGCAGTCTTTCCCCACGGAAGGCTTATTCGTAGATCTTGCGTGCTGCTACAAGAAGTTATGAGGCAACCAAGCATCAAAAGCTACCCAAGGTTCTGATTATGATTGGTGTTGCCGTCCTCACTACCGCTAGCACTGCTCTCGTTGCGCGTAGAGTCTGGCCTGAAATACTTACTCCCCCAATAAACCATAGAAATAAAAGGTTAAACGTTTCGATTCCTGCTAAACTATAAGAACCCAAAAAGGCTTAAAGGTTGGGTATTGGGGATCTAGGAATACGAGCACCTCTTCAGCTGCCACATCCCCAGGCTCGCTACCAAGAGGAAGCTGGCCTCAGGCTAGCTCACGGTCCGGAGGAATGTGGCGGTTTCCGAATTTTGGGGACCCTTTCTTATAGCACCCTAAATAGTAGGATCCTTGTTTTAAGGACCCTCAACGAAGGTATCCCTAGTTTTCGGAAACTGCCATGCGTTCAATGCGCTACTGAGAAGAGTCTGGAATTTCCTGACTTTGAACGCCTTGGCGGAAGCATGCGCTACCCTTCGCATGTTCTGGACTTTGAAGTAACCAGGCGAAAAAAGGTATAGACTTTTACTTCATAATGGTCCTTAAAGAAACAGGTACAGAAAAACGTATTCAAGTATGGTACTCCAATCGAGACTCGTCTAAGGAATCTCCTGCTGTCGAGACTGCCTAGCCTTGACATTGTGTGAATTGGGAGTTTCCGAAAATTCGGGTACCTTATTTTGGGACCCTTATAATAAGGATCCTACTACTTAGGGTACTATATTAGGATCCTTTATTTTGGGAAACTCACAATTTGCTTTGCATGACGCCGAGGTGCAGCGCCAGTGGCCAGCAGCTGCCATTTCTCGTCCCCACGGATGCCGTACTGCCTGGCACACGAGTATAATAGGATCTCTAATATGATTTAAGGAGTCTCTGGGTACACGGCTGGGCCACGCAAACACGAAAAGTTCTCAAGAGCTCAGAACTCAGACACACGTGAGCCCTGACTCCTCTAAACCTTGTCCTCGACCCTCATGACACCCGGAACGCAAAAACCTTGATTTTCCAGCCGGGTTTGCCAGGTTTCAGCACCCGGGGAAGGATCAACGACCATTTCAAGTGAAGTCGGTCGTAGGTCGAAGGTGGTCATTTTAGTTCGCAATGGCCGATATCCACGGTATCGCCGTTCTTGTTCACCTACTGACTCAATCCCGCTAATCCTTAAAAGAAATCCTCCTGCTGCTTCCCCCCAGAACAGCCCAATCAAAGCCAAAGTGAGGTGAGGCCTGTTGCGCACGGTGCGCGCGACGGGGCTCGTCACCTCAAACCCACCCTCTTGGCGAAATCCTTTTTCTTGGTCTCTTCTGCCTCTTCTGCTCAAGTGTTTCTCAAGGTAAATCCAAGTGCCGAACCCCCGCCTCGTCCTGTATCTAGGTGATCTTTTGGAAAGAAAACTTTTTGAAGAACCTCTAGCCTTTCAGTTCTGTGCTCACACCGGAGCTTTCACAGTGCAAGTTGTTTGAACCCCACAACGCAGGTGTTAGAATCTCTTTGACGTCTTGAAGTCAATATCTCCCTGGCCTGGGAGCTTGAGGGCTTGAGATGTGGGCGTTTCCAAAAATTCGGGGTACCTTATTTTTGGGGTCCTTTTGTAAAGGATCCGACGGTTTAGGGCAGTATATTAGGGTCCCCTATTTTCGGAAACTCCCATGTCTCTCAGACAGGAGTTCGCTGGCTTAGCCTTCGAGGGCTCTGAAGGCATCACGACCCGAAATCTGGGAGATCTGTAGGGATCCCCAGATGAACCCAAGGTCCTTCTTTGGAGACCTTCAGTCAGCAACACAGCGGCCACGGTGAGCATGCTGAGCAGCATCTTCATCTCCCGGATGTTGCATCATCAGCAGGAGCTCCAGCAACATGAACATGGGTGGTTGTCAAAACTATGGTCCCTTTTTGGGTCCCCATTACAGTACGGCACCTAATATTTAGGGTACTCAAAAAGGGACAGCCACCCACATCTGCATCGTTATCCTCTTCATCTTCCTCTTCACGATCGACACCACTAGAAGTACCATCGTCCTCTCGGTACTTACGGTTTTCGCCAGTATCTCCGTGTTTCGCGTCATCTGTCGTTCCCGTGCCTCTGGTGAGACTCTGGACTTCCCGATGTTTTCCGGAAAGCAGTTCAGGTACTCATGACTCATAACCATACTTACTAGGTCCCATACCCCCCCCCATTATAGCACTCTTGCGGATCCCTTTAAAGCGGGCCAAGCAATGATTCACCACCGAGCACCAGGGTTTGATTGGAGTGTCCTCATGCCCCTGTGCGAGCTATCTGCTGCTCAACAGACGGCTTGCCGACGCCACTATCACAGCGCAAGCTTAGTTTGCACTATGGCGCTTGTGACTGGGACTCTAGCAGTGACTTAAAGTAGTGACTTGTGCTACAACCTTGATACTGGTAGTAAGATCCATTCCGGCCCTGTCCGTCTCGTCCACCTGCCTCTGACGTGTTCTAGCCAGAACTCTGCAGATTGCCTTTTCTATATCTTTGTGCGCAAGCATGCAGTAGTGAGCACACGCACACATGCTCATGGACAGAAACTGCCAGAGATCATGCAAAGCACCTTGCTTCGAACCACAGCTTTCAACCTGCAAACCCCGCCAACAGTCTGAATCGCAAGCTGAAGCTGATGGTTGGCTGAGGTCGCACGCCGGATCTGACAGCCGAACCAGCCTGTGCTGGGCCAGGAACAACTCCAGTCCTAGACAATCCTAAGGTCCCAGGGTCCTAGACCCGTGCCTCGACGAGAGGATCCTCCAATTCTCAATGATAGGAGCGCCTAACGAAGCCTGTTGAACCGTCTCTCACCACAGGAAGTGAAGGATGCCGATGCCAAACACACTGAGTCGTAAGTTCTGGCTTTGGAGGTCTATACTTCAAGACGTTCAGCCCTAGCGAAGCTATCTGCTTCTAAGTAGTCGTAGGTGCCTACTGATGCCTTGGAGGCTTTACCGTTCAAGGTTGGGAACCTTGAAGAGTCTAGAATCGCCCGGACACAAAAGGGAGCATATAGAACAGTTCCCCCCAAGCCCTTACACCCTCAAACCCTTGCACTCTTGAACCCCACAGTCTCTCTCTCTCCTCTTCTTTTTCTCTCTCGCTCTCTCTCTTTCTGTCTTTCTCTCTCTATGTACATGTATATACATGTATATACATACATACATACATACGCGCATATGCACACGTACATGTCTATACGAACAAACCTCGAAGGCCTAGTCTAACTGGCTCCGAAGTGGAAGACCTCCCAGCAGATGGGTACTTGTCAAAATTACGGTGCCTTTTTGGGTACCCTAGATACTAGGTGCCGTATTTTAGTAGGGATGCAAAGAGGGACCATAATTTTGACAACCACCCAGATCAAAGCCTGACGTGTGAAAGCACCACGGAGCCCTCAGCCCTCAGCCCGAGGATGGAAGGCGAAAGGTTGAGGTAACAAGACTCCCGCAAGCATAGCAGCAGCACTCTTTAAAGCAGCAGAAGTTCTTGTCATAAGCGAGATCCTCTAAGGCGTGTTGATGTGCTGTGAGCAAGTCAAATCTCAGCACCACGTTGTACAGACTCAATCTCTAGCGCAGCCCGGGCTCATACTCCTTGGAAACATATCTGCGCCAAGTAGCCGGATGATCACCGAGCCTTCCACTTGGAACGGCGTCGGATACATGAGCTGAGACCTGACTTGCTTGCTCTGATGGTGACACTGGGTTCATGGTGCAGATGAAAACGGCTTAGCGAATGAAGGTGCTGATGATGTTGTTGACAGTGCGTCCAATACGGTGGGCTATCATGTAGGACCCCTTTCTCGTAAGTAAAGTGGGCACTGCATGGACATGTACAACGGATCTGGCTTTCGGGAGACGGGGTCGCATGGATCGTATGCAGCTTGTGGCGCAGTGCAGCGGACTCACAGGGGACTTGTGTCCTCGAGTTAAGAGGCTCTCACAAGCTTTAACTTCTCAACTTCACTTGCTCGACCCTGTGAGGCCGTAGCGCTGGCAACCTCAAAGCCACAACCACACTGAAACTTGCACGAAGCAGAGAGAAACCCCCAGGGACGGGGCTCGCTCAAGATCTCGATGTCTTCTTTGCTGGCCGGCCACAGGACCTGCAACTTGGAAGCAAAGGTCTAGTCTACTATTTGCTTAAGAACCCCAGAAAAATAAAAAATAGATTCCTTATAGGGATAATATAGGGGTTATCATTTTCTATTTTTTGGGGGTTCTTAAGCAAATAGTTGTAGTGGCCTGGTACATGTGCACACGTACTGTTAGTATGACACACATAGTTCATCAGATGCATGTGCACGGATCCATGCATCCATGCATGCACAAACTCATCCATCCCTTTATCTGCTCACCAGTTCGGGTAGGTACATTACTTGCGTTCACAGCCACTAGTACAGACGAAACCAGGTCACTCAGGGTCAAAGCCAAAACATGGACTGAGAGGCAGCTGCAACACAAGCAGCACGCTGAAGCAATCACGCAACAGCACACATGCAGAAAGAAGTGCCGCATGCACATGTAGCTGCTAATGTTGTATCGCTGATTCGGCTTGATGGGGCTTCAGAAACGGGTTCCCCAGGGCCATTCCCTCCTTGTGCTGTAGATTTGCGTTTCCCATGAAAGGGAGCTTTACAAGACCAGGGATCCCCATGTAAATCCGAAGTAGCAAGATCCCTGACCCCCGGGAGGATCTAGAAAGTAGATCCCCAATTTTGGGGCCCTAGACTACTAAGGGTACTTTATCGGAACCCACATTAAGGGATCTACTTTTTGGAATCCTCATTATAAGGACACCTTTCAAGACATACCCGAGCTCTAGGCTCCATAAGGCCACTGCTGCTTATGGGCTTTCAAGATTGAAGGCGAGCAGCGGTTTCGGAAACGCATTACAAGGTCTCTTCAAAATAAGGGGCAGATGATTCTAGGGATTTTGAAAATAAGGGTCCGATGATTTCGATTGTATGGTAGGGTGCCGTGTTTTCTGAAATGCCAGAAACCTGCACATGAAGCACCTGCAATTGCTCACTCACTTTCTGCCCGGTTTGATGCCCACCGGTAGGCAGGCAATTGAACACAGAGGCGGCGCGCGGGAACTTGGACCGCAGGTTCTTGCCGGGATCAGCATTGAAGCGTTGAAGCCAGACTGTGAGCCTGAAATTCTCAGCGAAAGAACCCAATGCAAGACCTGAGGATGTCGAACATCCCCCATGAGGGGCTCGACAAAAAAACAATCGTTTGTGCAGACAACGTGCTTGGCAGGTGCCCGCAAAAGCGGCCATGTCTCATGGGCTTGGAGCTCAGGCGCTTGCAGAGCAAGCGTGAGGCCCGAAAGCTGTGTCCACAAGGCATGGCCTGATCGAAGAAAATTGATGTGTCCCCGGGTGCCGTCTGGCAAATCCTAGGACGATCCAGGTTTCAAACACCAGACAACTGCGGAGCAAAGCGCTTTCCAACGCCAAGGCAAGATGGGGGTCTTGACGAAACCTGAACTCCCCTGTGCGGAAGCTTCGGGTAGTGATGGAAACCAGAGAGGTTCGGGTTAAGGAACATTCTGCCAAAGTAGAGCAGAGGAACTGAAAGCACAAGGACTGGGCCTATGTCGTGGTTTTAGCAGGAAGGTTCAACGTCAGAAGCTCAAAGCCTTCTTTGGCGACCGAGGTTGCTTTCCTTTGTTGGCCGGAGTTCTCGAACCTGGCTACTTTTCACATCTACCATGAAAGCCCATCAACAAGCAAAGTGGATGTTGCGCCCAAGACGGAGCGGACTTATCCAACTCATGTGCTTGTGTGCGTGCGGTGAAACCGATTCGATAGCCCACTAGATCTTGTGGCATGCTAGGAACTGGTCGGGGTTTGCGGCTTGGGGTCTTAGACTGTCAGGGATCAAGGATTGAGTGAGGTTGTCACAGTGACCGCGAGGAAGCGTGAAGCCCTACCGATTCAGGTGTGGCTTGTGCAGTTGTTACAGTTTTTGCATGTCGGCTCACCGCAACCCACATCAAAGCGTCTCTGATAGGAGAGTTGCAAGCAGATCCGATAGCAGTGATAGCAAGGATGCTCTCGCCATGGAATCACGGACCACGGATGCAATCAGGTGCTCTCTGACACCGATCGCACGCAAACATCTTCCTGATGCAGCCTCGCGTTGTGATTCCGGTATAGGAAGGTGAAACACGTTTCCTCGCTTTCGGTTAGGGCCTTGGGGCATTACCCCTGCCTGGTGCAAGCTACTATGAAATACCCCCATTCCGGACAGTGAGGCTCGCATTGCCTGCAAGCATAAATGACCAGAGCTGTTGAGAATGTCGGAAATGACATGTACCTGTATGGTATAAACGTGGCCCTTTACCAGCCTTATTCAAAGACGTTAGGCCTCTGTATTAGATGACTGCTCAAGATGTACGGCTATACATCACCACCAGCCGAGCTGCCGCAGGAAATCTCAGGAACTACAGCTGCAACTTGTTCATAGCTCGCAGCGCAATTGGATACAGGGGCCCGAATCATGCCCCGAAGTTTCTTGCTGTGGTTTAAAGTTCCAGTGCCTAATCTAAGCAACTTGCGGAGTACATGAAAGAAGTGTTCGGGCCCGCGCCCGGACCCCCATAGTATGCCTCACGTTCTTTCAACGCCCTGGCACCGCCTCGACGGCTACGCACTTCACTGTCTAACATCCTGTGGGGCTCTCTGCTCACATGATTAATACTATTACTAATAATATTACTAATAATATTACTAAAAATATGATTAGTAGTATTATTAATACTGTTGTCATTAGTAATACTATTAGTACAAGTACTAGTATTGGTTCCTTCACTCCGGAGGTACTAGTTGCAGATCTCTGCGAACTGTTGCTGCTTCTGCTGCTGTACGAACAAAACTACAATAGCTACAGCTACAACAGCAGCAACTGCGACCACACTGCAGTTACTAGTTGCGCTTGTTCAGCTCTTGCAGCAGCCAAACGGAGAACCGTCACCTCTGCTGCCTGTACTGTACAGGTAGTAAGCTCAAGCAACAGCGCTAGGGGGCTAGGCGTGGCTACGTCACTTTGGGGCGCTTGACATAAGTGAATCAGTTCAAGCTCAGATCAAAGTCAGGGACAAGTCACAAGAACGATAAAACTGAACGATGGGGTTGCCCTGCGGGCTCGTCCTGCAGGCTGTATGACGTCACGATCTCTGTAACAAAGCTGAGTTCCGTTGATGTAGCAAGCACGGTGTTCTACTACACACTCCAACGAATGGCTGAAAGGACAGGGCCACAGAACGAATCAAGAACGTCCGTCCATCTTCAACTTCCTGGGGCATGGAAGGTGGATTGATGCTATAGAAGCTCAACCCACAATCTCTTTCGGGCAAATCGCCCCCCCTCCGACACAGACGGAATCCAGGGTAATTTGCAGCAACTCCGGGATGAAATGCAGTGCACTCCGAACCATTGATGTCACCAAGATTTCTAGTAAAACCTAGTACAAGCAGCAGGGCATTTGAAGCGATATGGCGCCTATTGCGAATATACCAGTCAGAGGAGTGCTTCTAGTTGAACTTGTTTGCACCGTCCTCATGAGTACTGCCAGCAACATGAGGAGATTGACATACCGTCACCTCATCTGATAACAGGAAGATCAGGAACATACTGGCAACAGTTAACAGACATAAGGCCAACACACAGAGAAAACCTAGCGCCGTAGTCGTCTTTGAAGTCGACAGGAGTGCGAAGCTTGCCGCTCGCAGATTTGAAAAAGAAACCGCGGGACCACCCGTATATATACACATGTATACATACATATACATATATGTATATATACGTGTTTATATATACACATGCTCATGTTGTTATATACGTATATATATATATATATATATATATATATACATAAATATAGGTACACGCATGCACATGCTTATGTATTCACGGATGTGCATGGCATAGACAGTAGTGCCATCTCCCGGCTTGATGGGTACCGTCATACTCGCACTAGTCATCGGCAATGTCATGCTTGTTGCTTGTATCATAAGGACCCTTAGGGGGTATGGGGGAGGGGGGGCAGGGGGCCTTAATACCTATAATAAGGACTCCCCCCTACCCCCTAAGGGTCCGTATGCTTGTAGTGTCCAACACCTCATGCTGGTGTATAGTCGAGCCAAGATATTAGTCGCATTCCCGGTTCAGGTTTGGGGTCAAAGCATCATACAGTAGTTGTTCACTGTGTGCATTCCTTACGTAGTCAATGAGGTAGGTTCCCTTGTGTTGTCCGACCTCGTGTTTTCTGATGATCAGAAGTCTCCATATATGTTGGGGTGGTCCGAGCAGCTGTTCGCCAAGGCCCGCAAGCAAGGAAACAGATGTTTTTTACAGGTTTAGGAGTAATTTTATCTGAGAGTCAAGTGCAGGCAGTTTATCCGGTTTTGCAAAAGAGAACCCGAGCATATGCGAACCTGCACAAGACTTTGCAGAACCGAAACCAATGCCGTTTCTACTTGTCGGGTATCACGGGGAACTAAAGGTTAAGCTTTTTGGTTATATAGAGATTAGATAAGGACTATACTAACCAAAAAAGGTTAAAGACTACCTACCCGACCACTAGGCATTTAAGCAGGTTGGCGAAGGCAGCTGAAGCGGCAATTGCTGAAGAACTCTCTTAGTTGCTGAGTTCATAAGCCCCCCAAATTGTAGACTTTTGGTTTTACAGTGGGTAGTATTATCCAAAACAGTGTAAAGCGTATCCAGAAATCTACTAAGCTCTAAACCTAGCTTTTGGCAAATGTGGAATTCCAGGTGTCATTTCAAGGCCTCCGCGTGTGAGAGTTGCTCCAAACTCCGGTCACCATTGATGGTCCGTATTCTAAACCCGAAAACCCTAAACCCCTAAACCCTACACCCCTAAACCCTAAACCCGAAGCACCTAAACCCTACACCCCTAAACCCGAAACCCCTAACTAAGGCCCGTGATCCTCCAGAGTCTAGACGCCTGTGCTTCCCACAAAACCAAGTAGTTCAAGACCTGGATCCATGTGCGAGTAGTAGTAGTCGTAGTAGTAGTAGTAGCAGCAGTAGTAGTAGTCTTGCGAGCCTCGAACATAGAAGGATCCCAACTAAAAGGAGCTCTCTCAAACACAGGAACTCTGCATAAACAGGGCTTCGAGGTTCTGTTGTACTATGGGTGCATTGAGCTTGTACAGAAACTCTATCACTATCGTAGACTTATGGGAGTTTCCGAAAACAGGGGGGGTACCTTATTTTGGGGTCCCCTATTTTGGGAAATTCCGTTATGGGTCCGGAAGCCCAAGAAAAGCCCAAATGCTATCCCATTTCAAAGCAAGCTATGGCTCAGAGGACCCAGACTTTCTTTCGCTGGCATCAGGAGATTAAGGCCCCTACATTATAGAGCCCTTATAGATCCCTTATAAGAACCCTTATAGGACCCTTTAAAGGGACCCCAGTAGCAACAGAGAACTTTTCAGTGCCCGGGCCTTCGGCTGGAGACTAAGTATGGAAGGGCTTCCCCCTGGGTATTCGTGAGGGGAGGCCGATGGCTACCCAAGCAGCCATCAGGGAGTGGTGCTCAGAGCGCCGAATGACGGCGAAGCGAAAGAGCCACTGACGCTGGCCCTGAGATGCAAAGAAGTATCCAGCTTCACGGCTTGGACTGTTAGAGCTCCAAGGTTCCCACAGCTTCCAGAGGGCGGGCAGTGTGATTTTTTTAGAAGTTGAGGGCTTGAGATGTGGGCCGGCTTGAAGCAGGGATTCCAATTCCCGCAGCGGATGCATAAAGCTTCGGAGTGTAGAGGGTTTATTTGAATCTCGATACTTTTTGCAGACAGGATCCCTGAGCCGAAGCTTGAAGCCACTAAACAGAAGCTTGTTATGATCAGCTTGACTTTCGGTCTTTCCTTACCTGCATTTTCCTGTGATCTTCATAGGATGCTTATTGATGCCACCATTATCATGGTAAAGAATAGGATCCTTCCCATGAGCTCTTTATTAAACATGCTCCCGCAGCCCCACGAATCAACACTTGGAGGTTCATGGGTAGTTGTAAGTAGGGTCCCGGGTTATAAGTAGGAGAACTATGGTTAGAACCTCTACTAGGGGACTTATGCGCCCACTTATAACTACCCATGAACCTCCAAGCAAACCCTAAACCCTATACCCTTATAGAATCCCTGTGAAACCCTTTAACGAGATCCTTTCAGGAACCCTTCTTAAAGAATCGTGCGACTTAGTGATTAGGGTTATTTTTAAGGAAACTCTACGTATAACTACTTATAACCCCAATAAAGGTACCTATAACCGTACTTACCAAGTCCCATGATCCTCCAAGTTATAACTAGAGAACCCAGGGGCTCTTTCGATCGCCGGGGGCCCCGCTGTTTCAAAACACGGCGCAGGCCACCGATCTCGTCCTGTATCCCGGCCATCTGCTCCTCCACGTAGGTCTGAAACCTCGAAGGGTTTAGGGCCTTAGGGGTTTAGGGGTGTATAGGGTTTAGGGGTTGGGGGTGTAGGGTGTTGCGGTGTTTGAGGGCTTAGGGTTTTCGTGTTTAGGGGTTTAGGGTTTAGGGGTTTTGCAGGTTGTTGCAAACAACGATAGCATCGGTTGAAACCTATTTCACAAGTGGTTGTGACTACTAGGACGATGCTGCTAGCGACTGCAAAGAAGGATCATACTCATCATCATAACGTACTGGTAGCGGTAGGACTGGTCGGCTGCGGTGACGACATTGTACATGCATTGATCTGCTGGTTGATGCTGCCCCTGGATGCAGACAACCAAGGCAATGATGACAAGGACATTTTCAGTACCAGCACTCTACTACTAAGTTACTAGTATGGACACATATGCTTGTATTGCAACCAATCCCAATGCGTATTTCTCCTCCTCCTCCTCCTCCTCCTCCTCCTCCCACTACCGCAACTACAAACTTCTTGACTTGAAGGTGATTTCTCATCATCGAATACCGAGCCCACTACTGCTACAAAACACTGTCTCGAGGTTTGTGTGATCGTATTCAGATTGGTACACCTCCAATTTCCGACCATCATCTGTATCGCCGAGGGGCTTCCCTTGATTCTTGATGAGCCATGTCCTTCAATGCAGCCCGAGCTGCGTGAAACATCGAATGTGGGGCCCGAACGTAGAAGAATCAGTAGCACTAAAGATATTGACTCCTCTGAAACAGCACTGGGGTTTCGGGCACAGAGGTCTGAAGGATACGGATGTTGGAGGCTCGGCTTTTGCTCACGAAGAAAATAACAAAACAGGGCCTTGGGAGATGATGATGGGGTTGTCAAGGCCGGTGATCAATAAACCCCGCTTGAAGAGGGCCTGGGGGCCTTCATTCTTTGGGGCCTACATTGTCTTGGACTTAATTTTGGAGTTTCCAAGCTTTTGAGGACGTGATCGAACGAAAAGCCCAAAGCTTTCTCTTACCAAGTCTCTTAACGGCACCGAGAAAACCTCGACCCTTTACACATTAAGTTATCTTACCGCTACACAATGGGAACATGATTTAGAAGGCTTCCCTAGACCTGCTGCATATGGGGCTTGAAAGCTGTTAGAAGCGTTGAAGATTGAAGTTTGAAGAAAACACGGGACTTTACTATACACCCTGGAGAGCAAGACCATCATTATGAGGACCGCTTTGGACTCGTCAGATCTGAAAACCCTTTTCCAGTGCGACTTGGGTTCAGACGGAGATTGGGGGTGTCAGGGGCTTTGTTTAGCGTTTTGCAGAAGCACTCTTGGGGTTCCGTAAGGATTTCGCATGCTGTGGCCTACCCTGTGCTGAGAAAACCAGGTTCCATGTTATCCCACTTGCTGAGAAATCCCGCCCTTCAATCATGAGAATGTCATGTAAATCCAAATGGTTTGAGGGATAGCTGCAAGGGGAGTTAGCATCGGCCCGAACATTGCCCTGATGCAGAAGAGTCTCTGGTCGTGAATGATCTTGGACACGTCGATGGCCTTACTGACCCACCCCTCTTAAATGCCTCCTAAATGCGTACAGATATAGCCCTTGAAACGTATGCAGCATCTTACAGTAGAGTGAGTTCTGTTGGTCGAGTGGTCTGAAATACCAGTGCCTAAGTTAACCTGTTGTGTTAGCTGCAGATATTCAGATCTGGTTGGTTCCTCTCCTGGGGACGAGATTTTTGTTGGCCATGACCCTTCGTGATGAAGTGTCATCGTCATGTTGTTGATGACACGGATGAGGACGACGACTAGTATCGGGAACATCACCATGAGCAGCATTATCTTTAACAGTTATCTTTCGTAGCCGTTCTGGTCTGGAGAACCACCAGCACCAGCACCAACACCAGCACCAGCGCCAGCACAACCGCCACCAGCACCAACACCGCCAGCACCAGCGTCAATGTTACTTTCATGTTCATGAGAGTCGGTACAATGTCCGGGCTTGTGGTCAGGGCATCATAGAACGTAACACTGCAATCAGGCACTCCAACACTGGTGAAACTCCATCTGAAGCATGGTAAAGTCTGAAGGGTGTTTTTGTCGTGCATGTGTTGCAAGGAATGGTCGTAGTATCTCAGGTTTCGTTGGGGTCACAAAGTCCCACCTACGCCTGGGCAATTAGAGCCAGTGTGGCATCTGAACCTCAGGTCCAGAGCCCTGAAAAGTTCTGCGCAGAGTTGTCCGCAAATCCTAAAGCCGCACTTGGGAATGCGGAGCCACAAACCGAAGCGAGGTGATGGACCGAGAATGTTCCAAAGCTGGAGGTCTTCGTGTAGGGATCTGTCCCAGAGGCATCTGGATTTTACCATTCAGGGTCCCTCAGTTTCGAAAACTCTCATGTGGGGGCGCCATGGTTGTTCAGCCCGTATACAAGGAGCCCAGTGCATGTCGATGCCAAATCACCTCTCCAGGCAGCAAAAGGATGGGAAGGCTCACGACTTATCGCTATTATGCGAGCTTGATACGAAAAGGAAGCTGGGCCAGTGGTGAGCAGGTGATAAAGGCCCCAAGCGCTCAACACCGAAAAAGAAGGATAGTCACACCGCATCGACAAACCAGGGCCCCGACCCGGGCGGCACCGCGCAGACGCAGGCACCCCATAAGGAACTCTTCGATTTCCACAGAGCCACCTGCACGCGCGCGCGCGCGGCGTAGTAGACACCGACGGACGCCACACTCCGATGTTCACAGCGTTGGAGGGGTCATCCGCCCACAAGGCGCGTTGAAAGAACCCGAACACTGATCGGATACTACGCAAGCCGAGGCATTTCGAGTAGGCCTATATGGTCAGGCCTTTTTATGGTTCACAGTTTTACATTGGGTCACTCTTTCGAGCTGCCGCGCTCATCCGGAGAGATCCCACATGCCAGAATGCTTTTGAACATGGGGTGGTATTCGAGGTATGGCGCATAAGACCCCAAACCCTAAAATTCAATAAACCCCGATATCCTAAACCTGGAGTTCTGCTTGGTGAGCCTTTGTGCCACAGTCCTCCCAACCTTCCGCAAGTTTAGCTCTGCCAGGGAGCCGGATACCCCTGAACCTCAGGAACCTACCGTACCTTGCACCTACCTTTGGTTAGTAGGGAATGGAAGAATGGTAGTAATAGTAGTTATAATTGTATCCCATTCCTGCATTCCCTACTAACCAAAGGTAAGTTCAACCATGCTACGAAACCCGACAGAGTCTTGGATAGTTCCTCACTGCTCTCTGAGTGCTTCGGTTGATAATATAGATCCTGCATTACCTTAAGGATCCTAAACTAAGGGAATTATGGTACATTCCCTATTATGGGTAATGCAGGATTTATATCCCCAAACCCTACACCCTAAAATCCTATAGATCCCTTAAAGGGACCCCTTAGAAAGGTACCCTTATAGATCCCTATAAAGGAACCCTAGGATTTATATACCATCACACGTTGAGTTCTCTATCCGGCTCGAAATTCCAGGTCCAGTGGCCGAGGGATGCCGGGCTTCCTGAGTCACAGGCCTCTTTTTTGAAGGGATCGGGGGGCTCATGATAATGTAGGAACCTAATGAAGAAACCCTGGGCCTTTATCAGGGTTCCTTATATGAATCCTACTATTTCGGGGCTATGGGGCTCAAGGTTTCTTAATCAGGTTCGTACATTAGCTTGGGTAAAACAGGATTGTGCTCATCAGCATGTTTCCTCAGGCTCCTGGAGTTTGAGAGTTCCAGGCCTTTGTGGGCCTCAAGTCTTAGAGATCCCCCACTGGGTGCCAAGGGGGGAACTTCGGGGCTTTTTTTGGGGGCTTAGCGTTTAGGGTTTTAGGTTTTATGGTTTAGGGTTTGAGGGTTTGAGTGTTTCGGGTTTTCGGGTTTCGGGCCTCCGTCCATGTCCAAGAGCTTGAAGAAAGACCAGGCATCGGAGATGTCGAGCCCCAAAGTCTCAAGGTACTCCTGGCAAGGAGCCGTTTCTATAGGGTGTACCGCTTTTCATGTGTCTACAGGGTCTTACAAGTTTGTTTTGGGGCTTTATAGCAACTTATCGGGTTGCCTTGTTAGTTTGTTTTAGGATTCCGACACTCTGATAGTCCATCTTAGGGGTAAGAGGGCCTCACCAAGGAAACGGCACAGAACTATCTGTATGAATTCGATTGGGGGCTTGATATTGACAGTACTTCATGTGACATAAACGGTTTCTGGGAAAGGGTGGACGAACAGTTGGAGGCAAAAGCACTGAGGACCACAGCACGGTCGATGCATGCTGAATGGACGCTGCAGGAAGGTTGAATTTGGGTCGCGTCAGGGCATTATGCGAACAAACTTAATCTAGAGGTCGTCGAATTAGTAAGGTATATCGAAATATTAAGGGCGGTACTGCAGACAGAGACCTTTCTCCGAGGGGCTCGAACAGCCGGGTCGCCCAATCGCTCCTGGACAAGCAAAATGCCAGTGGCTGCTCCACAAAAGGAAGGTGGGAGTTTCCAAAATTAGGGGTTCCTTATTTTAGGGTCCTTATGACAGGGATCCTACTATTCAGGGTACTATGTTTGGGTCCCACATTTTGGGAAACTCCCAAATCGTTCCTTGAGCGTCTCCAATGTTTAGGTTTCCAGGATGTGTTGGACTTCTGGAGTGTAGGTGCTCTGAGCCCACATGAAAGCTCGTTAAACAAGCCGTGGGGCCTTATTGAACCCTATGAACCCGGATGTGCACACGTGAACAAGTCCTCTTCTATGGGTCGGCTTATGGCGTTGTGTTGAAGTCTTCTGAGTGGGGGCCTCAATGCTGTGTCGAGGCCTAAAGTCTAAGTCTAGGCATTTGACTCTTGTTCGTTGCAACTGGGGCATGGGATCTTTGTCTCAGCTAGGGCATGGGCCCTCAACGCTGCCCGCGGTAAAAGGATGTAGAAAGATACAGACGTCCATTAATGGTCGAGACTGGTACTCCAAGCGGTAGTATGTAGGTTTCTCTTCGAAACCCAGTAACATGTCGGCCATTCTTTGTGCATTTCCCGCCCCAAGCACTCAACCCTGAAAGTTTACATCCCGGAAAGCTAGGGCTGGATGGATTTTTGTGCTTCTTGTGGCCGGAGCCGGGCTCTGAAGCCAAAGCCCTTCTGTCCGTGTTGTGGTTTACCACAGCTCCTCCGCCAAGCAAGGTCGCAAAAAACAGCTGCTTGCGTCAACACTAGACATCATGTCAGCATAACATGGTTGCTTGAGGTGGAATTTACTCACAGTTGGATCTAGATAACGCAAGACCAGCAACCCTAAGTATTGAGGTTTAGAGAATAGAAGACCCCTCCAACCTAAGTCTCAAGAATGTCCCAACTTGCAGGATCGAGGCTCATTGTAAGTGGAACTCCAAAGTTCACCTTACTTACCGCTGGATAGTAGGGAATGGAAGAATGGTAGTAATAGTAGTTATAATTGTACCCCATTCCTCCATTCCCTACTAACCAACGCTAAGCTTACCTGTTTAGTCTTCCCATCTGCTCAGAAGGACCTGCAACATAGGGGCCTTGAGAATAAAAGCAACGCTTCCTGATAATTTTCCGCCCTGTTGCTTGCAGACTATAAAGGTAATACTACTTCTAGTCATTCTAGTATCCGGGGCCTGAAGCATCGCGAAGGTAATGCCGCCTTCGGATGCTGCCCCGAACTTGCTGAACAACTCGCGTACCTGGGCATCACATTGGGCAGTAAACCTTAAACCAAGCGAACCCGAAGAGGGAGACCAGGGTTTCGGGGTCTCACAAAACTGCATGTCTATCTCTGCGACTTGAGAGCCTAGTGTAGAAGCCCCAAACCCTAGACGCTAAACCTCTGAACACATGTATTTGGGTTTTGGGATGCTGTTTACTGTGCTACATTGGAAGATCGAAGGAGCTTGCAGAAAGGTGTCTACTGTAGGACTCACGCAGTTTTGTACGTAGCCTCGCTCCAAACGCATTACTTCCGACGTGGTCCGAAGCTGGCCCGCTGCGTCTCCTGATGTTTTAAATACTGGAGTTCTATGGAGCCCATGCCAGAAACCGGACTGAACCTGTACCCAGACCACCGGGAGGATCTAGAAAGTAGATCCCCTCATTTGGGGCCCTATGCTACTAAGGGTGCTTTATAGAAACCCCCATGATTAGAATAGGGTGTAGGGTTATTGTCTAGGGGCCTTAAAATTAGAATAGGGTTTGGGGTTAATTTATGGGGGCCTTAATAATTCGAATAGGGTTTGGAACTATTTTATAGGGGCCTTAATAATTAGAATAGGGTTTGGGGTTATTTTATCTGGGCCTTAGTAATTAGAATAGGGTTTGGGGTAATTTTATACTACAACTCCCCAAACCCCATTCTAATTATTAAGGCCCCTTACAGTACTAAGTGTCAGGTCTTTCATATGACTGTGGCATCATCGGGTTTCAGGCTTCATTCAACGCTTCAGTGTCCCAATTCCAGAAAAACATTTACATGTATAGGGTTTAGGGTTTAGGGGTTTAGGGTGACCTTACTTGTCATCCGCGGCCGCAAGTTACCGATTATGGCAAAGTGCTGCAGGAGCTGGGGGGTTGCGGGGTTTTTGCTTCAGAGTGAGATCACTAAACCAGGTCCTTGCTGCGATAGCTCACTACATAGGTCTCAACACTGTTAAGATGCTTTCCCCACGTGCTCCTCCTTGTCCTCGCAGAGTGAAGCTCCAACATGCTGCGCAGTCGTTAAGCCACGACTACTCTTCCGGAAACCGACAAGCAGCCAAAGGTTTAGGGTTTAGGGTTCCCTAAACCCTAACCCCTAACCCCTAAACCCTTAACCCTAACTCCTAACCCCTTACCCCTAAACCAGTCTCCACCCAGAAGTATGATCCTGTGACTGCTGCTCTTCTGCTTTCCGCTACATCCTCAAAGGATTCCAGATAACCAGAAGGGAGGGGACCCTGATACCCAAAACGGGGACCCAAAACGGGGACGAGTTTCCGAAAATAGGGACCCTGAGATAGTACCCTACATAGAAGGATCCTGATTATAAGGACGCCCCAAGTACGGTACCACTTTTTTCGGAAACTCCCAATACTAGATTCCTGAGTAGCACCTTTATAATAATGGAACCCTTCTTTCTAAAATTTTTACGGTTATTGGTAAGGGGAGCTTAAAGTAAAAAGGGCAAAAGGGCACTACTAGGAACTCCCCAAAGCGACGACCAGATCCTGGAAAGCTCCACCTTCCATGGACAAATCCGCAAACCTCAGACGACTTTCCGACCACAAACACATAATTTGGGTACTGCCCCCATACAGTAGCAGACTATTAGAGGGCTACTATTAAGGTCCTAATATATCTATATTATACCTATTGTCCAACTATTGCTCAGTGGGGGGCAGTACCCAACACACAATCTTCAGGCCAAAGCACCAGAATACCACAAAGCCCTTCATGTGGCACGAAGCTCTGAACAACATGCTCGAGGGTGTAAACCGTAAAAGCGAACCTCGTCAAAACAGCAAAACTAGACAATCAGCTCAACAGCCTTGAGCCACGCATGCCAGCCGGTATAGAACCAATAAGCCATTGTGAGCCTGTCCTCCTGCAAAGCCTTCCTAGTAACATCCCAATCCATACCCTTGGATCATAAAGCCCTTCAGCACGGTCCTCCAGAATCGATTGCACAGCAGCAGCGTGGTCGTGCTGAGCCGACTCAATCGCCTCAGGTCTTTCGACTGGATGATTGTGCAAGAGTCCTCTCAGGTTTTTGTAGGAGATGTTCTACATGGGCTTTCTGGTGTTTTTTTGCTAAAGGGCCCTATCCCTATTGGAGTGTACAGTTTAGAGATACGGCAGGCCAGGGTTCAGTCTACATACATATGGACGATAGCGGGAAAGGGCCACTGCCTGTTCCGACCTTCATACTAGCCCCTTAGAACCATGATACACATATTTGTTTAAATATTCTCTTGGGTTTTATATGAACAAAAATACAAACTATTTCCTGAAGAAACTTTAGTCATTACGACATGAAGCTTCGCGGTCGGGCTACGTTTAGCTCTTCACGTGATCACCAAATAATAAGTTCCTACAATATGATCCTTGCTTTAAGGCCCGAAGTCCAGAAGAAAGGGTTAAGTTTAGGATGCAGCTGAGAGCAGGTTGCGCTACTCCCAGGAGCTTGGGTTCAAAGTGGAAGCGTTTGGGGTTTCAGGATTCAGGGCTCCAGGGTTAGAGTCAGCCGGACTGCAAGACATCCGATATATGGGTGCAAGTTGCCGGACTGCCTGGTGAAAAGTTATCTGAGGCAACTATGTGAATGCTGGTGTTATTCCTCAATATGTGTCACCAAAGAATGAGTGCATGGCTGGGGTGAAGTGGGTACTGCTGGAGCTAGATGTTGGTTCGTTTCGACTTGGAAATTTCGCTGGCAATCGGAAGTCATGTGGGTGGTTGTCAATATTAGGGTCCCTTTTTGGGTCCTTATTATAATACGGCACCTAATATTTAGGGTACTCCATAAGGGGCCATAATTTTGACAACTACCCATGTGGGGAGACGTGGACATTGCAAGGCTTTGCGGCTCCGGATAATTTCAACGAGCACATGTCCCCACGCACCCTCCGCGACTTCAATGCGACACCAAATGCTTCCGTAACTCAAAGAGCCCAATACCCCTTAATTAAGGAGTATGGCTTAAATTATGTAGGGCTTCATCTTATGATGTAACTCATATTCCTTGGTTAAGGGGTTTTGGGCTCTCCGGGAATTCAAAGCCTGAACCCTACGGGCTCGGAGCTCCGAACACGACAAAACCTTCCCGAAGCCCTGAGCTCGGACCAGTTCAGACAAGTTGCACTGTGGCAGAACACCCCGGTTACCACCTCGGAATAACTAACTAACTTTGTTCTGGTGCCGGCAGCCCCCAAATGGACAGGACACCACATTACCACCTCGGAATTTTTCTTTTCTAGCTTTGTTTCAGTGCTGGCAGCCCCTAAACGACAGGACACCACATGAGCCTACAGCAAATACTACCACCTCAGAATGGTGGCTTAAACTTGAAGAAGGGTTTCCAAGAATGCGTCAAGGCAATGAACACTTCACAACAGCACTCCGGCAGGATCAAAGACCGAGGGTGGCAGTGATCGGTCTCGGACGCATCCCCACCGAATGTGTGGTCCAGGCAACAGATTCTTGATCACGCATGCAGTCCGACAAGACGTGAATGAACATCGGAAGCACATCGAGACGGACACGTCTGAGGTTGCTGCGTTTAGGACGGCGAAGTACCTGCCAGTACATGGATCGTCCATGACCCTAAACCCTAAGCCGCTTTAAACTTAAGCCACCTCTCTGCATAGGATAGCCTTGAATTTTTGCCTTCATCTCGTTTCAGGCTGGCCGATTTTTTGAACCGAAGCCCTAGAGTCTCAACCGTAAACTCGTAAACCAATACAGAAAGCTTACCCTTTCTGGGCGTTAGGCCTGAGCTGACTTGCTCAGTTGTGAGTTTTGGTTGCGCAGAAATAGAAAGCACGAACGATATTGCTACAACGATAACTATATCTAAGAGCACGAGCATGGATAAGTATTAGGTAAATGGGTTAAGTGAATATTGTGTATGTATGTATGTATGTATGTATGTATGTATGTATGTGTGTAGGTGTATGTACGTGTGCATATATATATATATATATATTCTTACACATTGATATACATAGGTGCATACATACATGCATGCATGCGTACATACGCACATACAGACACACGACACACACACACACGTGTATATGTATATATATATATATAAGTACATATATATATATGTATGTATGTGTGTACATATGTATGTATGTATGTATGTAGGTATATACGGAGCTTAGGCATCATAGCGTGAACGGAAACTGACATGTGGTCGGACTACCACAGACTCTGTGTTAAGCATACTTTGTACGTCCAATTCCTTCGGGCTCTGGCGACTCCACGAGGCTTTTGATTAATATAGGGGCCTTAATAATTACCTATACTATTTTGGAGTTCCTTATGAAGATTACAGTAGTGTGTCACCAAAAACCCTATTCTACTTATTCAGACCCCTCTTGGCCCCTATTTCAACCTCCAAAGAAGCCCGAAGCGAGCGAACCAAGTGCATGCTAGAAGCAGCGACAGCCCAACCTACATGATTCAAAGGGGAAAAGGAGGGACCCTTAAGGGGGACCCCTACCCTATAAGTGGCTATATAATGGGTATATAATGTCTATATTAAGGGTATATACCTAGGGGTCCTCATTAAGGGTCCCTCCTGTTCCCCTTGGAATGATGCATGTTCTGACATGTCCGAATCCCCTTTCCTCCAAAGCCCCAGAGCATCCCCTGGCTAGTTGTTATCCCGGTAAAAGCCTGGGAGTTGCCGAAAATTGGGGTACCCTATTTTGGGGTCCTTATAACAAGGATCCGACAATTGAGGGTACTATACGAGGGGCCCCCATTTTCGGAAACTCACGCCTGTGGAAAACGGGGCATTAAGGGGTCCATCAGCTCCGAACTCTCAAAGAGTGAACCTCAAACAGAAACCCTGATCCCAAGCTTGAGGATGCAGGCATTTAGGATCTTTGTGCCCGCACCCAAAACCGCAAACCAGCCAATTAAACTCAGAACTCCGCTGACACCTGTCCTGAACCCTTAAACCTGAAACAGCAACATTAGCAACAGTAGCCCAGGAAGCCTTCAACCCAACTCCCTAGCAACGGCCCACGTGAAGGAGATGTAGAAGACGAAGGTCATTGCCCAAAGATGTGATCTGAGGCTGTCTGGGTGTTTCAGTGGCTTCTAACCCTGCTGCTCCTCCTATTGCACTTCTTCTGCTTCTTCTGCTGCTACGACGACGACTACGACCGCAAGTACTGCTACTGCTACCCCGAGTCTGGCGTTCATTCAGCCACCGCAATAAAGGCCATCAGGTTTGTTTGGAGTCATTCGGAGGTCTCGTGTCTAGAGATTGCGCACTCACCCTTGATTGCGAGTTTCCTTGAATCAACAATCCCCACGAAACCTAAAGAAGCTGTACCACTAGCACTTTACACACTATTTCGCGTTGAAACCTTCTTTCACGACAATCCCAATGCTGCTGCTTTTACTTCTGCTTTGCCTTTGACTTCGACCTTAGCTTTTGCCTTTTACTTCAACCACCTGTACTAACAACAGCACTTGGATTCACCGCGTGACGGCTGTGGGGTCTGCGAGGGATGATGGCTTTCTAGCGCTACTCCGATGGTTTGCTTGGTTTGGCCACAGCCACTTTGGGCTGTCTGCAGTGTTTCTGAGAATTTGGCGTTCTTCATAACGGGGTCCCGGTTTTGGCCATCAGCCCACTTGTGTGTTTTCCCCAGGTCCATAAGTTCACCTTCCCAGACCCCCGGAAGGATCTAGAAAGTAGATCCCCTAATTTGGGGCCCTATACTACTAAGGGTACTTTATAGGAACCCCCATTAAGGGATCTACTTTTTGGATTCTCCCGGGGGTCTGGGTTTGTGGCTTCGGCCTACTGATTTCGATTATATCTGGAAGTTGGTTGAAACGTCTCTACGCATACAGGCTACCCTTGGTGCCATGACCGCGTGGGCTTAAACCGAAAACCCCTTTTAACGCTGCAAACGTGCTTAAAACTTTTCAGCATTAGTTTAAGATGCAATGTTTGGGAATGCTACCTTTCTCTGGCAGTATCGCCAGGCCATTGCTGCTCTTGCGACTGTCAGCGGAGCCAATCTCGTGAAAATTGTTGCCGTTGCTGTGACCATGACTCCTTTCATTGTCGTCTACACTGTCATGGTCATCCTTCGTTTTATGCCGCACTCACTGCTTTTCGTCCTGCTGCGACAGCCTTCAGTTTGTCCTCGCTATTGATGTGTGGATTGGCTGTACGGTATTATAGGAGCCTCTTAAAACATAGAGGCCCATTATACTGCTACTATACTTATAGTAGGGGACCCCAAAATAATATTGGCAGCTATTTAGGCCCCTACAGTACTCCTACGGTTTCCACTGTGCTGCATCTCAAGCCCAGGCACACATCCTCCAGCGGGGCAAGTACGGCCTCCCAGCTTACTCCACCTGCAATGCTCCTTGGTGAACTCGGTCTAGAAAGGATCCGAAAGCTGGAAACTAAACCCTTGAGCAAACCATTTTTCCTGTCCCATGTGCTGTAGGATGCATTCTTTGGAGTTGCGTTTTCTTGATCCTTTATGGGGGGCTGGGGGTCGGATCCGAAAGTTTGCAGCGATGGGAGGTGCACGGTCAGCCCTGAACCCATACCGACTGGCAGGGATACATGCAGGGCTCAGGGCAATTCTCTGGGTGAGGTTCTGAAAGCAGGTGTGCTTCCCTCCGAATTGGGGTGTACGGCAGGCCTTTTGTTTGGGATGATAATAAGGATGCAGGTCCGGCAGGAAGGGGGTAATACGGAGGCCGGCCTTGATAATAAGACTACGGATCTTTATAGTATAACTATAAAAAAGACAACCGAGGAATAATGTTGGTACATATTTAGGCTTCTACATTAGGGTCCCTCTATCACGGGTGTACCTTCAAGTCACCTGAAGGCCCTGAGACTTCGAAATTTCCCTTCGGGACCTGTGCACAGCATTTTTTAACTAGTGGTTTTGGGGGTTCCCTTGGCTCTTTAGCTCCTTATTCAATAGGGATTATCATCATCTCTGGCTCCTTAGCGCACCCCACTAGCCATGGTTAGTTTTCCTGCATGGAGTCTGCATAGGCGGCAACCATACTGATACCATGTATTCACCCACCAGTTGTCACTGTTGTCATCTATTAAGTTTTTGTTTCGCTCCCTCTCCCTCTCCGAGTCTCTCTCTCTCTCTCTCTCTCTCTCTCTCTCTCTCTCTCTCTCTCTCTCGTGAACTACCACTCGGCCTCTGTTCTCAAATTGTTCGTGGTAGGTGCCGGGCCTTGAGGCAGGTAGGCTACCAATTGGCTCCGGGAATGGGTGAAGCTTTTGCTGCGCATGCCCTTACATCTCCACGCAATCGTGACGTTCTGGGGCTTCGGGGTTCATGGCTTGATGGCTCTGGTCCCAAACGCAGGTGAAGCTCTGTTCGGGGTACAGAGATTAGAAATTCGGATACATTGAGTTCCAAGCCATGGCTTGGGGTTTAAAGGTTTTTGGTCTGGGCTGCGGGTCTCGGGTTGTTAAAGGCATAAGGAACGAAGCCTCAGTTCTGGGAGCGTTAACGTCGACCCCTCAAACTCCACCTACTTGTCGCGTATCATGAGGAACTAAACCTTTTTGGTTATATCGGGATTCTATAGGGACTATACCATCCCAAAACGGTTAAAGGTTACCTACTCGATCCATATTATAAGGACCCAAAATAAGGTACCCCTACTTTTCGGAAACTCTAAACCCTTACTACCTACTCGACTACTAGGTCAAACTCCAAGCATGAGAATCTGCATCCTGAGGGCCTCCCACCCACACCCTTTGTGAATGTGCTAGCCTTTTCAGGTCCGACAACCGACGGTTTGGAACAACAAAAGGGGGGGGGCCGAGTAAAGGATTAAGGCTTCAAGCTTGAAGAACAAGCTCTTTTCAAACTTCAGGCACTTCGTGCTGGGAGAACTTCTGCGCTTTCCAACCAAGGCTCATGAATAACGACAGCATAGTGCGGTAGAGATCACCTGAGCACGAGATCTTGCGGAGCAATCCCCAGCTGCGTCGAATGGGCTCACAACGGAGCAAGAGACAATCACGCAACCACGTCAGGAAACATCGGCATCATGCGGTCGACATGCAAAGTCCTCAACGCGGCATTTGTTTTGAATGCAGGTATCTTTTGCCTGGCAACATGCACATATACCTGCATGCATGCAGGTGCATACCAATCTATGAACGGAAACCGATACCCAGGATTCAGTTTGACAGGAAGTTACATATTGCAAGCGTGCATTACGAGACAAAACAAACCACATGTATAACTAGCCGTTTAGCTAACTATCTAGCTGTCCACGCAGACTAGTTAGCAGAAAACTATGCAACCAAACGATTGAACACACGAGCACACAACCAATAACATAACACGTGCAAACATACATGTATATACATATATATATATATATATATACGTACACATGTACATACTTTCGTGCATGCATACATGCAGGCACGCATGTGCATACGTTTATACATTCATGCATACATACTTACTTACTTGTTTGCTCGCTCGCTGTCCTTACTTCCTTACTGACTTCCTTGCTTACTTACTTACTCACCTACTTACCCACACATATACATAGATACATACTTCCTTACTTGCTTAGGAACATGTTTACACGCGTACAAACATCCATCCGTCCATCGATGCATGCAAGCTATATGCACACCTACTTGCACATGCACTTCTACACCGACACCTGTGTCCATGCGGGTATACATATATATGCAGTTACCCACAACAGGCACTGCGCACAGGGGCTGTATGGAAATCCGAAAAGGCTGCGGAATGCTTGGGCTTTGCAAGGCATTTGTTAGAGGTCGCCCCCCTGTCTCGTGGTCCATTGCAGCCAGTCGCCGAAATAACGCCGAGCTTGTTGATTCCTCAGCTAGCCGCAGCGCAGGAAGGGGTCGGATCTAAAGATACTGGCTCCTGTCAATATGGGAGTTTCCGAAAATTAGGGGGTATCTTATTTTGGGGTCCTTATAATAGGGATCCTACTACTTAGGGTACTATACTTGGGTCCCCTATAATCGGAAACTCCCATATCTAGGCCCGTCTTCAGATCCCTGTGACCGCTTGCAAACCATGGAGTCTTCAAACTTGTCCGTGCCAACCATAGCAAGCCCGCGACGCACCAAGGCACGAGATTTCGGAGATCCCTGCACCACCAAGCCTAACAAGGCCTAACAGAAAGCATTTGGGGTTCAAGGTCGAGGTTTGCAAAACACAAACGAGCATCCCCCGAACCCGCTCGAGCCCTGCGTGCTCCGCAAGCCCGTCTGTGCTGCACCAGCGCAGCAACACAGTTAAGGCATTCGGGGCCCTCAGTCCTACACAATCGTTGTTGAAGAACCCATCTGACCTGAACTCCAAACCCTCAGTGGTTGGGGGTTGCCTGGTCTTGGGATGTTCGGAGCCTTCTTAAAGTTTTGTGGTTTTCGACAGATAAGGGTTCTGAGTTGGGAATGTTGGGGCAGCTGAGTCAGTACATCCCTACTCTTCGACCTTGGGGGATTCGGGATCTGGTACTTGCCCTAGGCTCTTCAAATTAGGAACCCCAACCTCCAGGGCCTCAGCCGAACTGGGAGCTTGACGAGCCAACGACGATGTCGAGAGCGTTGACGCTGACAAGTTGCCGATGACAACGAAAATGACGACAACGATGCGTTCGATACACCAATCTTTCGTACACTCGCGACTGTCCGCAATCTTTCACATGAATCTACAAATGGGTGTTTCCGAAAATAGGGAGCCTAATATAGTACCTTAGTAGGATCCTTGTCATAAAAACCCCCAACAAAGTTACCCCTGATATTCGGAAACTCCCTACCATAATCCCCTTTAGAGAACCCCTCTAGATCCCTTATAGTAACCCTTTAAAGGGAATCTTAGGTACCCCTAATTTTACCGGAAACTCCCAAATTGACCTGGGCCTCAAAGGTCCGAGCCTGGATCACTAAGCGTGGCTGGAACCTCACTCCAAAATATCTTCCCAGAGAGCCCAATACCCTTTAATTAAGGAATATAGCTTAAACCATAGTATGAAGCCCTATATAATTAAAACCATATTCCTTAATTAAGGGGTATTGGGCTCTCTGGGTTGGGTGTGGATCATATGGGAGTTTCCCAAAATAGGGGACCCGAATATGGTACCCTAAATAGTAGGATCCTTATTATAAGGGCCCCTAAATAAGGTACCCCCAATTTTCGGAAACTCCCATATCAAACGGGAAAAGGAGGGACCCTTAGTGGGGACCCCTACCCTAGAATGGGCTATATAATGGGTTTATATACCAGCTATTTTAAGGGTATATACCTAGGGGTCCTTATTAAGGGTCCCTCCTTTTACCCTTGGATCATAAGCTCAGGAAGAAATCTGCAACACAGGGCCCCCAGACTAAAGCAGCATAGCTTTGAAGCTCCAAGATGTACTGGGCTCTTCTTACTTAAGATAGTGAGCAAAACTCTATTATCTAGTATAGATCGCTGCTGCTCCAAGATGTACTGGGTTCTTCTTATTTAAGATAATGAGAAAAACTCTATTATCTGTTATAGACCGCGCTGTGGTAACTAACCCCCTCTGGAAAGTTTAGCTATACTGAACTTAGAACCCTAGCAACAAATGTAATATTAGCTGTTTCTTAGGGATTGTAATAACCAAAAATTAAAAAACTATTTCTAAGTACCCCTAAGTTAGCCCAGTGTAAGGTGGACAAGTTTCTGCTCAACGCTCCAGTTCCCCTCCAGAAGCTCGTCGTTCCTTGGCTTTGTTTGAAGGATCATGGGACTCAGTAAGGGCTCCTAAAGGGCTCTTTAAAGGGATCTATAGGGTTCCTTAAAGGGATCTATGAGGTTTAGGTTTAGGGTCTGCTTAAAGGATCATGGGACTTAGTAACTAGGGCTATAATTAGGGTAACTCTACTTATAGCTACTGATAACCCCAGTTAAGGTACTTATAACCTTACTCACTAAGTCCCATGATCCTTCAAGTGGGGTCCAGGGTCTACCCTAAGCTTCTGAGCCAAAAAACCGTGAAGCATGATCCCCAAACCTGGGAATCCTTGTGAAACAACTGGGTCGTTCACTAAGTTCAGGTCCCGTCTAGGTCCCCGACATGGTACGGGCAATCTTATAAACAAGCTAGTTGGAAACCTGAATGTAAACTTCCGCGGGTGTCATCCCTGCAACAGAGCCGGTTTCGGAGTGGCCACTTTTCAGACTTTTGCGCTCTGCAAGTTTTGGGCCAATGAAACCCCCAAATCACGCATCAGGGTTACCATAAAGGTTACCATCGGCATTGGGGTTTAGGGGCGAATAGAGTGTAGGTTCTTGCTTCGTTTGGACAGCCTTCGGCACCCAAGGCGTGTCCAACAAGCCAAAGCCCTAAACATCCCTCAACGTCTGAACGCCTGAAACTCTATGCGGCTGTGGCGCCCTGCTCGAACCCCAGAACCCGATGAGGCAGAGGCTTATGGGATTACCCCAAAACTTGGGCAGAGGGTTTGAGCTTACTTGGCGGTAGTAGTTCATGGGTAGTTATAAGTGGTGTTGTAAATTGCCTAATATAGGTTATAGGTATAGTTATCCTACTTATAACCCTGCTTAGAACTACCCATGAACCTCCAAGTAGACCCTAAACCCTAAACCCTTATAGAATCCCTATAGATCCCTTAAAAGGGACCTGACAAGGAACCTTTATAACTATTCAGGAACCTTTGAAATTTACAGCGAAGTCCTGAATAGTTAATAGGCTAGGAGCCTTACGCGGTTTAGGGTTAGGGTCCCGAAGCCCTAAACCCGAAGACTGTCTGGTACTTAGTAGGGAATCGGGGCCTTAACAGTTAGAATAGGGTTCCTTCAGGGAGTTTATCCGTTCCCTTGATGAACTCCGACACCTCTAGCCCTACCGAGGGCTCGAAGTGCAGCAGCGTCTTGCACCGCACAGCATTCTGACTTTCAAGGGTCACGTTCCCTTCCGGGTTGAACCCGGTCTGCGCCATTCTCACTTTGGGCGAGATCGGCCACAGCACCCGGCAAAACAGAACAGCACCTCCCGCCCAGATCATCCAACGGAGGACCTGGCCAGCCTCTGTTATGACACTCGTAGTGGCCTCTTCCAGAGACTCCACCACTGCCACTGCGGACCACGTGGCATGGCGAACGACCTCGGTCGCCCCCTGAAGGAGGTGGTAGGTAGCCGCTGCGAGAGCAGCAGCCGCCCCTGTAGCGACCGCTAGGTCATGCGCAAAGGGGTAGTTCCTGTCGCTTCCTCTTGGGTCGTATTTGCGAGTACGGCCCTTTCCCCCTCGCTTGCGCTACTTAGCAAGAGGAGGGTCTATCAGGGTGCCTCTAAGGGTTCTATAAGGGATCTGTATGGGGGTTCCTAGGAGGGAATGGGGGGAATGGACTGGAGACGATCATGATTGGGGATTATAGGGATCCATTCCCCCATTCCCTACTAAGAACAAGACAGAAGACCGTAAAGCCATGAAGCCTCAAACCTTGTTGTAAGACCCGTAAAGTCTAAAACTCCCAGAGCCCTGAACTACGAGATGCGTCTGTGCGTCGTTTCACCAAGGGTTTTTTGGGTTTCGGATGTAGTAGTTTTCATCGTTTTCGAGATTTAAGCTTCTGGGGTTTCAAGCATTTTGCATTGAGGGGCTCGAGGAGATTTTTCGTTTCTCAATTAGGACTTGGGGCGTGACCTACTCAGACGACGCGTTTTTCAGCAACGATGCTGGCGAATGCCGGAACCTTGAATGAGCTCCAACCCCCAACTCTAAATCCGCAAAACCTTTGGACGTAAACTGCCAAACCCCACAAACCCCGACTTAATCCTCCAGCCCTCGAGCTCTATATCCTTTGAATCCCCTGAGCCACGTTGCACAATCTGAGTGAATAGGACGGAGAAGACGTAGACGATAATGCCGAGAAGAACCACCGCCCAGAAGAGAGACTTCCTCGGACTTCCAAGATTTTGAAGGATTTCCTTCCCTGGGCTGGTAAGGGTGTCGAGGGCTAGTCTTGCTGCCTACAACAACAACAACTACTACAACAACAACTACTACTACCACCACCGCCACAACTCCCACTGCTACTGCTGTTTAAGGAGGTTCGTAGACTCAGAATGGTGGGTGCAAGGAGGCCTTCCCCAGCAGCAACTGTTTTGGGACCGAGGCCGGGTTTTCTGGATTCGGGGCCTGAAGAGACTCGGCTGAATACGTTTGGGGCTACAGTGGAGTAGTTTAGGGGTTTAGGGTTTATGGGTTTAGGGTTTTAGGGTTATTAAGTTTTCAGGCCCTGCTATAAACTGGAGGCGTGCGCTTTCGAGGTGAGGAAACCGGGACTCGAAGCTGCTCTTGAGGTGAGTGTTCACTCACTAGCTGAACTGGGGTTTAGGGTTTAGTGTTTCGGGCCTGCAGCGGAAAGCCGAGTCAGAATTCGCAAAGACAGTCTAGCTGAGACGAGTCCGCTTGCGCTTTGCCGCTGTTGAGCTTGAGCTCGAGTGGAACATCTGGGCATCAAGAACCTGAATACATGAATGGTCTTGTACGTTATAGCATAAGTATATTATATAAGGACTTGTAGAAACATCATGCTAATCCCCATCTAACCCCTCCAATTGAATTGCTGTACTCTGAAGGCTTGATCGTGGTCGCGGACTTGAGGATACCTGAAGAATCAGGAAGATGCCCAAAGGGATCACATCCGCTTTTCAGGGTTGCTGGGTTCGGTTTAGTCTTTACACAAAGGCTGACACTATGATATGATCCAGCCGAGGCACAGTGTGTGTAGAATTGAGGTAATCAATGTCCGCAGTGCCCGAACAAAGCGGAAGATGCGCATCAGGCGCACCGCCTTTCGATGTGTTCAGGGTGCGTGGGTCCAAAAGCTTTCTGAGCTTTTCCGGGCGTACCGGGGCCAGCCATCTGTTCTTGCACCGTGAAACCCCCACACATTCCCGTCTCAGGAGGCTTTGGGTGATGTGGTTGAGAGCCGGAGTATACTGTAAATCAAACGGGATGGTCATCCTCCTACTAGGAGCCATCGCTGTCGTCGCGCATCGGCAACAGTAAGGAGACAGGCTTGTGCTAGCAGTGATGGCGGCAACACCTGTACAGCAACGCAGGGCGATTGGCTGAAAGCGAGAATCAGGCTCTCCTGTGGGAAAAACCTTCTTGTGATGCCTGCGCCTTCTCCCAAGTTTGCCATGCCTGTGATGCACAGCTGCGGTCTAAACAGCAAAGACTCTGTCTTTCGTCTTAGGAAGCAAGGCAGAGGCCTTGCGCAGTCGTCTTGATAACTATCGATGCTCCTACTATAAGTAGGGTTATAAGTAAGACCACATAGTTAAAACCTATATTAGGGGACTTGTAGCCACACTTATAACTAACTATCCATGAACCTCCAAGTATAGTATTCGATCCAAGCTACTGCTCAAGGTTTTCAGGTTTTCGATATCTCACAGCAAGACTCCAGCACCCCTACAAGCCTTAAGACATCAGACCTGAAGCACGAAACCCTTCGGCCCCAACACCCTCAAGTCACAGGGACCCTTAGGGGGGTGAGGGCGAGGGGGGGGGTAGGGGGCCTTATTAGGTCCTTATCATAATAGTAAGCCCCCCTATCAAGCTCTTGAGCCCGAAACGCATTAACACTGACACTGTGAGCTGTAAATATCCGGGCTTAGAGGTAAAGCTCTGCGAAGGAAAACATAAAACGACCTCTTCTAGGAGCCGAATCACGTGAATAGGATTTTGGGATACTTTACCGAGTTTGGATATATTGAGGAGCTGTAAGGAACACTGTAGGGAATGATTCAGACCCACATTTTATTCACTGCCTCCTTACCAGCCCTAAGCTCTGTTAGACCCACATAAGGCCTATCCTAAACGTAATCTGGGGTTGTGAAGAATTATCACTGATGTTTCTTTCTGTAATTTTTATACAGCATACATTATTGAACACCAATCAGCTCTCCTATCCTACGTGTTTAACTATGTGACCTTGGGTGGTGCTGGAGGTCCAGCCGACACAGAAAGAACACCATCCAACTAGTAGTTTTGGGGGTTCCCTTGGCTCTATAGCTCCTTACTTCATAGGGATTAGCATCATCCCTGGCTCCTTAGCTCCCCCAATCTCAATGGTTAGACATGCAGGGGACCTTGAAGAGCCGCGTAATGCGTACGATGCGGAAGGCTTTCAAGCCGGTCATTCCCAAAAAGCCTCACAGGGATCTACCACTACTACTACTACTACTGCTACTACTACTACTACTACAACTGCTACAACTACTACTACTCCTACAACAACAACAACTGCTACTACTACTGCTACTACTACTATAACAACGACTACTGCTGCTGCTACTACTACTACTACCACTACTACTACCACTACTACTACTACTACTACTACTACTACTACTACTACTACGCCTACTACGCCTACTACTCCTACTTCTCCTACTACTAGTCCTGCTGCTGTTGCTACAACGCCGCCGACAGTTACGTACTATGCTGGGCAGGCTCGCGTCGAGGATCCAGCAGCTAAGGCTGTAATGAGTCCTACAGCCTAAGGAAGCGGTTTAGGGTTTAGGACGTTTAGGGGAGCTACAGCCTCAGGAACATTCCCTTTGGGGGAAAGGGAGTTCTACAGTTTCAGTTTTCTTCAAGGCATTGCTTCATCATGCCAACTGTCACACAAGAGTTGCTGTTAAGAGAAGCCTGCTTTAGGGAGTTTCAGAGAAAAGTGAGGAAACTGCGGGAGAGCTGTAAACTCTTAGCCAAGGAATTCTTGTAATAAGGGTTACTGTGGGGGCCTTACTAGTTAGAATAGGGTTTTGGGGCTCCTTATTGTAGTGAAAGTATAACATACCAAAATCCTATTCGAAAAAAATGAAGGCCCTTCTGTTGGTTCTGAGAACCATCGGCTGTCGTTTGTCAAGTATAGACCCCGACAAAAGCATTCGGACCCCGATGACAAAGTCGAGGCGAAGTCAGGCTTTCACTGTTCCTTTATACTATATACCATTCCTTTAAGACTCCAAACCCTAAACCCCTACACACCCCCAAAAAACCCTAAACTCCTAAACCCCGAAGCCCCGAACCCCTAAAACCTAGGCCCTCTAAGGGTTCTGCTCAAAGTTCACTTTTCCAGGTCACATTACAAGGACTGTTGCAAGCCTACCTTAGCCTTAGGAAAAATGGGATATTTAGGGCTTAGGGACCCTAGCCTTCGGAACATGAAGAACCCGAAACCCCTACACCCCATGTAGCCCTATACCCCATAATTACCCTACACGGGTAGAGGGAAGAGAAGCAGTACCCTCAGAATCTCGCGAAGGTCTCATGGTTGGCATTGCTTTGCCCTGAAGCTTCGTACGTGTGGTCAGCCGGATCGATGCTATGCTGGGGTTTGGGGTTTAGGGCCTCGGGAATGGTAGTCCAAGGGCCGCCATAGCCACTTTAAGAACAGATGCTTCTGTAAGTCAATGAGGGAAGTCGACAAGTATCCCCCGGTGCCAGCCTACGTAGACAGTATGTAGTATGACTCTTCAGAACGACCGGTACGTTGTTGTCCGTTCTCAAGCCCATGCACACCCACTGTCTAAAGACAGTACCAATACTAGCCGCCAGCACAGACGGTGCTTGGGATTTGGAGGGCACCATGTGACGCTGTTCATAGAGGGTAGCTGGGAACTTTGAACAGGCTTGTCCCACAAGGCTATACCTCAGCATTTTGATCTCATCTACTCTTATGACACTCTAACCCATGTAGAACTCCGGGGTGCCGTTTCTTGGGTTCAACATGTTCATATAGTCCTTCATGGTCATGGAGCCTTGGCTATTTGGGAGTTTCCGACAATAGGGGACCCCAATATAGTACCCTAAATAGTAGGATCCTTATTACAAGCACCCCCAAATAATGGTACCCCTAATTTTCGGAAACTCCCTACCATTATCCCCATTACAGAACCCCTATAGATCCCTTCTAGGAACCCTTTAAAGGGACCCTTAGGTACCCCTAATTTTCGGAAACTCCCATTTCTATCGCGGCGATGATGGAGAAGTGCGCGCCAGCTGTTGATGCTCGAGACATGGTCCAGCGAAGGGTTCAAGCGTTTAGGGTTTAGTACTATAAGGGCTCCTTTAAGAGATCTACAAGGGTTCCTTTAAGGTTCTGAGGGTTCTGAATTCAAAAGCCTCAAATAACAATGTAGGCTTAATAATATATTCAAATTATTATATATAACAGAACAATATGACTGAATTTTAATACTCGTAGTAGTAATGATAGTAGTAGTAGTACTGAGACTTGTGGTAGTCATGTTAATAATTCAAAAGTGAAGCTTTTGTTTGAACCGACCGCAGCAAAAGTTCGAAGCCTCCTGTTAAGCAAAAGTTCGAAGTCTCCTGCTAATGCCCTAAACCCTAAACCCCTAAACCCTAAACCCTAAACCCTAAACCAAGAAAGCATTTGGGACCCTCGGGCCATTCATAGCAAAGACCGAAGCAACAGCGCCTTGCTTGCTCTCTTCATCTTCCCAGATGTGGATGATATCGATGATGACCTGAGGCTGAGTTGCTCTACGGTTGATGATATAAATCCTGCATTACCTTAAGGACCCTAAACTATGGGAATCATGGTATATTCCTTATTATGGGCAATGCAGGATTTTTACCCCTCTATGCTTTGCTCGGATGGTTCCCTAGATTTCGCATGTGACTCTAGTGGCCAGCCTCGAGTCCAGACAAGGGCCTTTCATAATCAAAAATGATATGGCTTTGGGGTATGACAGACTTCAAGTATATCAGCGAATCACAGAACTCTAAGGAAGAGGACTCCTTAATATGCGCACAGTGTTCCTTTGTTGTTGAGTTCTTAAACCCTTAGAAAATGTGCACCTTCAGTTTCATGGCGGGCAATACTATCCCAAAAAGTGTAAAATGTATCTACTCAGCTACCCAGATTCAAGCTCCTATAGTGCCCCTCGCTACCACTGAAACTCCATTCCGTGAAGGCTCAAGCAGGACATCCCATTTGGGAGTCTCCGAAAATTAGGGTACCTAGAGGTTCCTTTAAAGCATTACTGTAAGGGTACGATAAGGGTTCCTTTGAAGGGCTCTATACGGGTTTAGAGTTTCCGACAATGAGGGTTACCTTACTTTGGGGTGCTTACAATAAGGATCCTACTATTTGGTTTACTCGATTAGGATCCCCAATTTGCGGGAAGCCCCTTTTGCAGTGCCTCAGAGACAAGCGACATTGAATGATAACACAATGAACCTTTACATGACAACAGTACTACTGGTCATACTTGTCCAGTATCCTGAGGAACTACAGCTTCACCTTGTGGTTTACATGGCCACTATGGTATCCCAAGAACAGGTTTCAGGTCACAAACTCCACTTATAACTTACTTATAATCTGGCGGCCTGAACAATTTGAACAGGGTTTCGGGGACATTATACTATAATTGCCATGAGGAGCCCCCAAAATGGTATAGGCAATTATTAAGGCCCCTTAGCCTATATGGGTGGTTGTCAAAAATTATGGTCACTTTTTGGGTACCCTAAAAATTAGGTGCCGTATTGTCATAGGGACCCCAAACGGGGTCTCTTATTTTGACAACCACCCATATTACGAAGCGAAGGAGTTTCAACCTGCTATTCGATACTGTTGATGGACAAAAGGGATTTTGGCCTATGGGGGTTTAGCAGGGATTAGGGTTCCCATAATAGGGTTCATACGGTTGATGATATAAATCCTGCATGACCCTAAGGGCTCTAAACTATGGGAACTATGGTATATTCCTTATGAAGGGTAATGCAGGATTTTGTCCATCAGCAGTACTTGGAGGATCATGGGACTTAGTCATTAAGGTTATAGGTACCTTAATTGTGGTTATAAGTAGCTGTAAGTAGAGTTACCTTAATTATAACCCCAGCTACTAAGTCCCTTGATCCTTTCAGTAGACCCTAAACACTAAACCCCATAGATCCCTGGAAGGAACCCTATAGATCCCAACAGAGAGCCCTTTAAGCACCCTTACTAAGTCCCATGATCCTTTAAGTATCAGACATTGGGTCAGGCCCCGTTCATCAGAAACCGGATAGAATCGATCACGTACCAGAATCCCAGACCCCCCTTTGGAGGATCAAAAAGTAGATCCCTTAATGGGGGTTCCTTTAAGGGATCTCTAGGGTTTTAGGGTTTAGGGTTGAGGGCTTCGGGGGAGGATCCAAAAAGTAGATCCCTTTTTCCCTTAGTAGTGTAGGGCCCCAATTTAGGGGATCTACTTTCTAGATCCTCCCGCGGGTGTGGGATACTCGTATTGCATAGGCTTTTTCTTAACAAAACCAAAGCCGCCCTGACCTCCCCCAATTATTTAAACCGATGCCGTTTATAAGGAGAACCCTAAACCCTAACTCCCCCCCTGATTTCAACCGATGCCTCCCATAAAGAGCTCAAGACGATGAAGACGTCCAACCTTGTTTATTTGGGTTCGGCTCTCCGAAATCGCTCGGAAGTGTCGGGTTTCGGAGGCCTTAAATGCTGGGATGCAGGTAGGTAGGATGAAGGATCCCTTATGCAAGGACTCTTAATTCGGCATATCCCACCTACCTTCTTCCCACCTTTGGCGCCCTTTGAGGGTTACAAGTTTGGCATTTAAGGGTTCTGGTTTCGGAGGCTGGGGTGTAGGGTTTTTTTTGCTTAGGGGTTGAGGTGGTCGGGTGGGTGCAGTTAATTTTGCTGGTTCTGGTTCTGTTTCCCTCTCCTTGATCTTTCTCTTCTATCTCAGGCCTTTGCCCTGAGGTTAAAGCACGGACTCTCGAGAGAGTGAGGCGTGTCAATGATCCAAAGCGGAGATCGGGGACTTCACAACTTGGGCGACAACTAAACTGACAAGACACGGACATATGGGCAAGGAACCACATATGACCCGATTTCGGACCCCGATCGTCCGTTGTAGATTGCCGCTAATGATGCCCTCGGCCTTTGTTTCACGAGCCCGACTTTCCAACACTGGGGAGCTACGGGCATAGCACGCTCGTCTATCTAAGAGCCCAGGACGCCATACTGTAGGTAGGAATCAGTGCTGTTACCAATACGATCGTCAGAACAGCGACGGCCAACAGCAAAAGCAATAGTGATGACCTGTTCAGGTTTCAGGGATGACTACTATACACCACACTGCATTTGTCATAAGCTACATCTGACTGCGCATTGAACTTGGTGGTGTTTGCATGCATAGCTGATCAACTTCAGCCACTTGGGCTGAGGGTTGTGTCGGTTGTAGGTGAAAGACTTCATGCAAGACGGCACGAAGCGACACTCTCTTCGTAACAGGGCTTAGCTCAACAGGATATCACGAGCTTGCTTGACATCTCAACTAGGGTCTACAAGTCACCGAGGCTCGAAGCATTTTGTGCATAATCAAAACATCTGAGGCTTTGGCCAAGTCCACATCCACTCCTGCAATGCTGGGTGGCCGGGATTTGTCGCAGTAGAACTCGCAAGGTGTCTACGAGACTGTATACCGTCCGTGTTCGACTCCTCGCTACGTATGTAAAACTCGTACGTCGCAAATCGACACCGGTTACATTATACTTTATATATATATATATATATTGTATGTTATATATTACATATGATATATCATATATTATAAGGGAGTCCAAACCTCGCGTAGCCTTGGCACGCAGCACAACCAAACTCCCGCTTGAACAGGAGGATCATGGCTCAGGGAATGGGGCTTCCGACCGTTTAGAGGGTATGAGCATCCCTGGCAGGTCCTGGCCACAGTAGTAATTCCAACCTCCAACGATGCTCCGTAGCAAGAGCTCCAAAGTAAACCTCAGCACAAGCTGGTCGTGCTTGGTTCCTGTCTTCCTAAAACCTAGCATGATAAGACAGCACTTTATTCACTACATATCCCCATTGTGGCAATTCAACTAAATTTCGTTCACAGGAGTGACCGCTAATCAATGCACCACTCTCCGTCCATGCAACAGCAAGCTGCAAACCGGAGCAACTGAGCACCGCCAGAAACCAAGCACTACTGTAGGGGCCCCAAGAATTCGAACAGGGTCTTTGTGACCTATTCTACCAGAGTTAAGCTAAAAGCCAGAAAGTTGGAATATGATTATCCTAACCCTTCTATGGTAAATTATAGGGTATCCTACCCTTAATCCATATTCCAACTTTCTGGAGTTCCCTGTATACCAGGAACTATACAACCCGGCTCCTAACTTAAACAAGAAACCCTTGAGCCTCGGACTCAAACCACAAACCTTTCTTCGACCGCCCGCCTGGGGTTTAGGGATTGTTCTTAAGGCATAAAGGGAAATTCAGAAAGTTGGAACATGGATTAATGGTAGGATCCCCTATAATTTACCTTAAAGGGGTTACGATAATGATATTCCAACTTTTTGGCTTCTACTGTATGTTGTGTCGATGCAGGGATTTGAGGTTCAGGGCCGTAGGGCTGGGGGTTTAGGCTTTCTAAGATCCAGGACTTGGGGGTTCGCCCACCGGTCCTTTGACCGCCAGGTCCCCAGAGAGCCCAATACCCCTTAATTAAGGAATATGGCTTAAATTATATACTGCTTCATATTATGATTTAAGCTATATTCCTTAATTAAGGGGTATTGGGCTCTCTGGGTCCATCTTGTAAAAACCTTCTGCTAACGCACCACGAACAAGAGCATTAACACATGCTTTCCCAAACCATAACAGCTGATGTTTTCCGCATGGCTTAGCAGAACTGCCGGGAGGATCTAGAAAGTAGATCCCCTAATTTGGGGCCCTATACTACAAAGGGTACTTTATAGGAACCCCCATTAAGGGTCTGGCTTAGCAGGGCAAGATCCTACACAAAACCAAAGTCATTTACACGAGGATGGCATGCCCGTGCTTGGCCCTCCAAAACTAAGGCTTGTCAAATTCTAAGTGCCTAAACCAATATACAAAATTTTGCATACATGCATGCACATACAGAAGCAATTCTGCGCTAGTTGCGTTTGGGGTGCGTGGGAATGTCTCCGCTGCGTTTGGGGTGCGTGGGAATTTTGGCGCACTTTTAGAACTTCTAGAACTTCTAGAACTTTTAGAACTTTTAGAACTTCTAGAACTTTTACAACTTTTAGAACTTAAAAAACCTTTGGAACTTTTAGAACTTTGTTTACATACACATATGTGCATGTATGTATGTATGTATGTATGTATAGATATACATACATGTACACATACACACACTTACAATATAAATATACATAAACAAAAAAGACACAAACACATACATGTACATATCACTACGTATATATCTGGACATACACACACATATGTGTATATGTACAGGTGTGTGTATATATTTACATAGATATATACATACATCGACATGAAATATGTATTGTATGTCTGTAGACATATGTGGGGGGGCTTCGGGCGTGTTTGGTGCAGCCTTGCTTCCTGAAAGGTGTTTGCTCTGATGATGTCTGTGTATGGTTCCGCAGTTTGAACCCTTCTGGAAGTCTTAGAACTTTTGGAACTTTTAGAACTTCCTTTTAGAATTTTTAGAACCCCTGGAACTTTTTAGAACTTTGTATACATACACATATGTGCATGTATGTATGTATGTATGTATAGATATACATACATGTACACATACACACACTTACAAAATAAATATACATAAACAAAAAGACACAAACACATACATGTACATATCACTACATATATATCTGGACATACGCACACACACACACACATATGTGTATATATGCAGGTGTGTGTATATATTTACATAGACATATACATACATCGACATGAAGTATGTATCGTATGTCTGTAGATATATGTGGGAAATTTGTATTGTATGTCTGTAGATATATGTGGGGGGGGCTTCGGGCGTGTTTGGTGCAGCCTTGCTCCCGGAAAGGTGTTTGCTCTGATGATGTCTGTGTATGGTTCCGCAGTTTGAACCCTTCTGGTTTTTTTAAAACTTTTAGAACTTTTGGAACCTTTAGAACTTTTGGATTTTTTAGAACTTTTAGAACTTTCAATACTTCTAGAACGTCTAGAACTTTGACAATTTTTGGAACTAGAACTTTTAGAACTTTTAGAACCTTTGGAACTTTTAGAACTTTGTATACATACACATATGTGCATAAACGAAAAAGACACAAACACATACATGTACATATCACTACATATATATCTGCACATACACACACACACATATGTGTATATATACAGGTGTGTGTATATATTTACATAGATATATACATACATCGACATGAAATATGTATTGTATGTCTGTAGATATATGTGGGGGGGGCTTCGGGCGTGTTTGGTGCAGCCTTGCTCCCGGAAAGGTGTTTGCTCTGATGATGTCTGTGTATGGTTCCGCAGTTTGAACCCTTCTGGTTTTTTTAAAACTTTTAGAACTTTTGGAACCTTTAGAACTTTTGGATCTTTTAGAACTTTTAGAACTTTTAGAACTTCTAGAACTTTTAGAACTTTTAGAACTTCTAGAACTTCTAGAACTTTTAGAACTTCTAGAACTGTTAGAACTTGCAGAATTTCTAGAACTTCTAGAACTTTGAACTTCTAGAACTTTTAGAACTTCTAGAACTTTTAGAACTTCTAGAACTTCTAGAACTTTTAGAACTTTTAGAACTTTTAGAACTTCTAGAACTGTTAGAACTTGCAGAATTTCAAGAACTTCTAGAACTTTGAACTTCTAGAACTTTTGAAACTTTTAGAACTTTTAGAACTTCTGGAACTTGTACAGCTTTTTCGACCCTTTAGCTGCTGAAACGCCCACGCGCCCCAAATGCAATGAAGACGTTCCCACGCGCCCCAAATGCAATCAACCCGCAATTCTATGTAAAATTTGTACGTATATGCACTTATATATATATATATATGCACATATACTCAGATTCATATTTATATTATAGAGTGTGTATGTTCAGGTATAGGTAAATGTATATAGTTGTATGTACAAGAAGAAACAGCCACGAAAGTTCAATCACCTCTCAAAAGAATTAACGAGTTATTTCAGGCCCGCTATATTCGCGCAATAAGATTCCTTACTTGTCCAGTATCATGGGGAACTCAAGGTTTACCTTTGGGACGATATAGGGATTATAGTACCCCAAAAAGGTTAAAGGATACCCATTGTACTTCTAAGATTCTGCCGCGAATCCTGGGAGAGAGAGGCCGGCGCTTTGAGTTCTTTGCCGAGTGGCAGCCCAGTGTACGTGTACCTGGGAAAGAGGACCCGTTCCGGGTCGGGGTTTAGGCCTTCGGGTGATGCCAGGGCGCAAAATAATTATGGTAAGGTTTCGGGGCTCATGCTACTATAAGGATACCAGGGAACCGCAAGGATCGGTAGTACTCGGTAAACAGGCCGTTCAATTCGGGTTTGGGTTTGGGGTTGCCGAGGGACAAGATTGCACCCGCACTACGCTTATCTTGACGGTCCATGTTGGAATGAACTAGCGCGTGTTGTAAGGGTTCTGTACGGGATCTACAACTATCTGGAAGAAGCCTATACCGTTTGCGATTACATCCTGGCCCAGCAAGCCGTTGAGAAAAGGAACTACGGGGGGGAGCCCAAGCACGAAGGAACCGTACTGGCATTGTTGATAAAACACAATACGCGCGTCAAGCCCTTAAACCCTAAGCCTCTTGAAGCCCAATGGATCCTTGCTTCGAGAATGCTGGATGATCTGCATGGCCAGCGGTCGCTGGTCATCCCCGTTGAGTCCTACCTGCGAAGCGGGGTGCTCCACCCTGGGTTTGGATAATGTAGGAACATGATTAAGAAACCTTGGGCCTTTATTCGGGTTCCTTTCTACGAATCCTGCTTCTTTGAGGTTATAGGCCCAGGGTTTCTTAATCAGGCTCCTACATTACCATCTTATAAGAACTCCTATATAGTATCCAATATAGGAACCACCATAGTATCTCTTGTTTCAAAGGCATGGCAGGATGTCTGTCTTGCGGCTCTGTTTGTTTGGCTTCGTGAACACCGCCCCGCATGAAAGACATGAAAGAAGTGCTTTCCCAGACCCCCGGAAGGATCTAGAAAGAAGATCCACTAATTTTGGCGCCCTATACTACTAAGGGCACTTTACAGGAACCCCCATCAAGGTATCTACTTTCCGGATCCTTCCGAAACTCTGGGCTGGTGATCGGTATCGGCCGTCTCCAAAGCACTCATCGCAACCTCGAGCCCCAAAACCCTAAACCCCTGAACTCTTATAGGAAACTCCAGAAAGTTGGAATATGGATTAAGGGTAGGATACCCTATAACTTACCATAGAAGGGTTAGGATAATCATATTCCAACTTTCTGGCTTTTACCTTAAACAATTCATTCCGAAATTCCCATCTGAGGGTTTCCGAAAATTAGGGGTACCGTATTTGGGGGTCCCTGTAATAAGGATCCTACTATTTAGGGTACTATATTAGGATCCCCTATTCTCGGACACTCCCATCTCGCATGGTGCTTGAAAAGCCATCTTTGGCCAGTATTGCCTTGCAGATGACATGACGAGTGCAAGTGTATGTTTCGATCGCATGGCCTGCAAAATGTGCCGATTTGAGCTGCGATCGCCGCAAGCTAATTTCTCACAAGGTGTGGGCGGAAAGGTACCATGGCCCTGAGGGCTTTCCATGGTCAATCCTTTAGATCCTTTAACGGCTTCTGGATCTACATTGGCATCAGGCACGAATTGAATTTTTTGGCCGCTCCATCGGTGGACCGCCGATTGCTCTGAAAAGCTAGGCTACCCCTCGAACAACCCAGCTCGAAAGATGGGTTCCAGGCCGGTAGGGTTCAGGGATGCGGTTTAAATTGCAGGGGCTTAGGGGCGAAAGTGTAAGGTTGCCAAGTTAAGCTGCTGGGGTTTACGGGCGCGGCTGTTGCTTGGATCCGCGCATTTTTCCATTTTAGCTCTTCTCCGTGGTCATTTATGGATCCTTATGACGCAGCATCCCTTAAAGCTACGTTGCCCAGACGAGGAATGGTGAATGGATCGAAAGAGTTTCCAGAAACATTTGGGAGAATAGGGGTACCATATTTTGGGGCCGTTACAATAAGGATCCTACTATTTAGGGTACTATATTCGGGTCCCCTATTTTCGGAAAGTCCCATTTCGCTTCGAGTGACTTTCTGAAGCACTGGTGCAAAGTCTGCGCATCCTGCCTGCACCTCCACTCCAATAAAGACGGAGTTGGTAAAGACGACGAGCGCGAAGAAGATGTCAAAAGCACTGCCTGTCGAGTATGAGTTTCGAAAGTCTGAACCGGTAGTCGCTTAGATACTGAACCAGGGACTCTTTCGTCTCTTTTATCAGGCATTCTGTTTTGCGTAAGAACCCAGAACCAACACGGACTAAAAACTGACTCTCGGGGTAGCCTGAAGAGTATTTTCCAAGCACTCGCATTTTAATCTCCGGTGGAATGGACATATCGGTTTCTGTACCTTGTTTAGAAGTCCTTACGGGTGTGGTGGTTATTTGCAGATCTCCCCCTCCCTCCTCGCCTGCACCCGAACCCTGAACTACAAGACCAAAACCCACTACTACCACCACCCTTTCACCGGGATACGCAAAGATCACCTTGAGTGGGGCTCCCCTACCCAAGCCCAGAACCCTAAGCCCCGAAACACCGAAACCTATGATAATCCGTAGATCTCTGCAGACAGGCAGCTGTCAACGATTCGACGGCACACAGCACCGCAACTTTCCTGCGAGGAGACAACAGCTTCCATTGTAAACGTCTCTACCGTCACTTTATCGTTTCTACTGGGCAACCCTAAACCCTCTTTTTGCAGAGTGTGTTTTCAAACAGGCCTTCCTCTTTCAAGATGAGAAAAAGCAAGGACACGAACAAGATGGAGATCATCTCCGATCGGCAGCTTCCAACTAAGCCCCATACTTGTCGGAATGAGATTACGAGTAGTAGTAGCAGTAGTAGTAGTAGTCGTAGTAGTAGTAGTAGTAGTAGTAGCAGTAGCAGCAGTAGCAGTAGCAGTAGCAGTAGCAGTAGCAGCAGTAGTAGTAGTAGTAGTAGTAGTAGTAGTAGTAGTAGTAGTAGTGGTGGTAGTACTAGTAGTAGTAGTAGTAGTAGTAGTACTACTACTACTAGTACTAGTAAGGCTTAATGTTACTACTCATAGTAATCCTATTAACATTTCTATTTCTTTCGAGAGCCCGACGGGACCTGCAGGCAGTGAACCTTCAAAGCCAGTTGCTGTGGTTTGCCCTCTTGACCCAGTTTTGGCAACCCGGAACGATAGCTCTTGTCCCGGCGGGAGGCCAAAAAACCCAAAGATGAAGGTCCAAAGCCCCTGCGCAATTTAGACCTGTAGATTTCAGGGTTAGTAGGAGCCCTATTGTAGTCCCTGCTAAACTTCTCCCATGATCCTTTAAGTTACCAATACTATTTTGGGAGTTCCTTCTTATATGGTATCATATACCCCAAAACCCTCCCTTTCCCATCCGAATACCAGCTCAGGCACGGCATCCTTTCAAGTCTGGATTCCGAAACCCAAGCCCTCTTCCTTGGCCGTGGTCGTTTCAAGCCTGACCTGCCCCGAACTTATCACCTGCATAGCCGTCAGCCCCAAGCCATGCCCTCAAACCGTAACATACCAGGAATACGGTCTTGGGCCCATTATTATACTATAAAAATAGTAAGGAACCCTCAAAATCGTATTGGTAATTATTTCGGCCCTTATAGAAGCCCCAGACCTTGAACCCAAATCCGAACTAGAGCTCCCTAAACCCGAAAAACTAAAGCCTGAGGCCCTACCTAGAACAGATCGCTAAACCTTAAACCCTAAGGCCTAGGGTTTAGAAGCTGCCCCCACCCTGTAATAGTGACTATAAGGGTTATATTACGGCCCCATTATATTCCGATTATACCACTATTACAGAGTGGGGGCCCCTTCTAACCTAGGGCCCTAAACCTTGAACCTACATCTCAACCACCAGCTGCGAGTCCCGAAGTGGCGAAATCCGCAAAGAGGTTTCCTGCCTGCTGAGATCAAGGCTTCGGGTTTAGGGTTGAGGCTTTAGGGCTTAGGGCTTTAAGGCTTAGGGTTTTAGGGGTTTTAAGGGTTTTAGGGGTTTAGGGTATAGGGGTTTAGGGTTCTGGGAGATATAGGGGGTGCTGTACATGAGGGCTCAGCTTAGTGGGCTTGTTATGCGCGCGACGTACTCGTTTGGGACACCTGCAGAAACCCCAATTTCGAGAATTACCCCTACAGATCCAAGGGGAAGAGGAGGGACCCCTAATTAGGACCCCTAGGTATTTACCCTTGATATAACTATTTTCTAGCCCATTATGGGGTAGGGGTCCCCATTAAGGGTCCCTCCTTTCCCCTTTGATACAGAAGCATACAGGAAGAGTAAGCCGCTACAGAAGCATAAAGGAAGAGCAGGGTCACTATAAGTACAGAAATACTGTTCATGGACAAAATCCTGCATGACCCTAAGGACTCTAAACTATGGGAACCATGGTATATTCCTTATAATGGGTAATGCAGGATTTTGTCCATCAACAGTAGGAATTGTCAAAAGATTCCCCACACCTCACTCGTTTCCCGGCATTGCTTGGATAAGTCAAAGAGGTACTGCTGAACCCAAACCGCCCCACCCCGCCCGGGACACGTGAGCTTTGACTCTACTTGGAGCTTCATGGGTAGTTATAAGTGGGGTTTTAAGTCCCCAATATAGGTTCTAACCATATTTATCCCACTCATAACCCTACTTATACCTGCGCATGAAACTTCAAGTACTCTGAAGAAAATAGCTCTTATCCGAAGCCACTCTGGGAATTCATGGCTCCCTACACCCCAAACTTCACACCCTAAATCCTCTACCCTAAATCTAAATGCTACACCCTGTGCTTTGAACACTACTTGGAGGGAGGTTCATGGGTAGTTATAAGTAGGGTTATAGGCAGGATAACTATGGTTATAACGTGTATTATGGGAACTACCCATGAACCTCTACAAACCCTACACCCGTATAGAACCCCTTGTAAACCCCTTTAAACAGGACCCTGAAAGGAACCCTTGTAACTACCCACGAACCTCCAAGTCCACCCCAGACCCCCGGGAGGATCTAGAAAGTAGATCCCCTAATTTGGGGCCCTATACTACTAAGGGTACTTTATAAGAACCCCCATTCAGGGATCTACTTTTGGGATCCTCCAAAGTCTGTCTGGGACCCTGAGGGATCCCTGGCACCTTGTTGAAGCGAACATCCTCCGGCTCCGCTCTGCCTTGGCTTCCCCCCTTTGGAGGATCCAAAAAGGTAGATCCCTTAATGGGGGTTCCTTGAAGGGTTCCTTTAAGGGATCTATAGGGTTTTAGGGTTTAGGGCTTAGGGGAGGATCCAAAAGAGTAGATCCCTTAATGGGGGTTCTTATAAAGTACCCTTAGTAGTATAGGGCCCCAAATTAAGGGATCTACTTTCCCTTATAGATCCCTAAACCCTAAACCCTAAAGGATCCCATAAAGGAGCCCCTTTAAGGAACCCTACTACGCCCCAAATTAGGGAATCTACTTTCTAGATCCTCCCGGGGGTCTGGGTTTCGGAAGCCCAGAGATTCCGAAAGCCTCCTTTGGCATTAGGGGTTTAGGGTTTTGGGTTCTGGGGTTTAGGGCTCAGGGGTTTAGGGTTTTGGGTTTAGGGTTTAGAGTTTTGGGTTTTGGGGATTCCTGTGGGCATGCAATACAATAAGCTTGCAGAATGTAGTATAGTCTACTACAGTACTAACATAGTACCAAGTAAGATGAGACAACACGATATTGTATAGTTCAGTACAGTAAATAGAATGTGCTGTATGCATATGTGAGACACGTAGCAATTCACGAACACGCCCCCGGAGCATTCCCCCAGGACTTTGGCAGGCTCAGACAGACCCCACCACCAGAATCTTTGAAGTTCGAATAGTCTCGAAAGTCATCTGGAACGTAGCAAGAGTGTAATGTGGAATTGAAGATGTGGGTTAGGAAATCTGTAAACATCGGGGATGTGAACGTCGAGGCGTAGTACTCTCACAGACAAGATGTGCCGGGACTCTGCCCTAAATCTACTTTCCTTCGGAGGGCATTGAAGCGAGGCTTTTGGTTCACAGACGACACTCAAACTACACGCTAAGGGGGTTTCTGATGCATGTTTATACCTAGTTGCTGAGTTCATAAGTCCCCAAAAGTTTCATTTGTATAGTGGGTAATATCATCCCCAAAAGTGTAAAGTGTATCCACTCAGCTACTAAGTATAGGTTCGGGGGATCACAGGTGGCTCAAGAACTGGCTCTTGGATGGCTGGACTCAGGGCTTTGCTTGGTTTGGAATGCGGCAAAAGGCCTTACTAATCTAGGCTCTTTTGGGGGTTTAGGGGTTTAGGGCCTAGTTTAGGGTGCAAACAAGGCTGCTTGGTTGTAGAAGCTTCCGGTAGTAGGCTTTTTCGGGGTGGGGCTCCAGCAACGTCGAAAATGCAGAAAGGTATCCCACCAATTTATGGGGCAAGGTAGCATGGCTTTGAAGACCTCTATGCCGTTACTGGGCTGTTAAGTAACCAGGGAGAAAAAAGTAAAAACTTGTATTTCATAAGGCTTCCCTTCTAAACCCTAAACCACAGACCCTAAACCCCTAAACCCTGAACCGGAGCTGAGGGTTTCGATCTTGTCAAGTCGGTTGCATGAACGCTCTCCGCATTGTCCTTCAACGCCAAGTTGAACCTTGGCCCCGTTTGTTTTGACTTTTCAAGTTTTATCAACACAATGGCCTTCTTTGTTTCGAATTTCAACAGGAACATTAGTTTTTTGCTGAAAATAAGGAGCCCCACACCAGTAATTGACAATGATTCAAGTCCACAAGCATGCCAACAGGAGCATCCCGAAAGATCAAGATTCGATAAGCAAACGTAGGGCCTACGGCCTGCGGAACACCGAATCTTCAGAAAGCAAAGTTGGAGGCCCTGCCCTACACCTCCGATTCCTGAGGTTTAGGGCTTTCCGACTCCTACACAACAGCATCTTGATAAGAGTCCTGACAATAGAATATACTGATGCAGTGTTTGCAAGAGTTTTCGCGAGAATACCAGGGATAGTAACAAAAACAGTGCTGGTGATACTAAGATGCTTCTCACAAACCCTAGTCCTACCCGACCCCTGAAAGGATCTATGAATAGAAGCTAGCCTGTCTCTATCCTACGGTACATGAGGGCGGGACTGTTTTCGGTCTTTTAGCGGTTCTTGTCTCTAGCTCCACTGGGGGTTCTGGGAATATCAATTCTTCAAAACCCGTCTTACAACCCTCCCCTGGAAGTCCCTACCCAAACCCCCGGGAGGATCTAGAAAGTAGATCCCCTAATCTGGGGCCTATACTACCAAGGGTACTTTACAGGAGCCCCGCTTAAGGGATCTACTGTTTGGATCCTGGGTAAGGGTACCTTCAACTGCCGCAGCCTACTTTCTTGTAGGTTCTTATGATAAACCCTAGTATGGAACTCTTAGGGACCCTACAAAAAAGTAGATCTTGGTGGGCTAAGGTATTAGAAGGTTCTATAGTAGGGTTCCCGGGTGTGGGTAAGGAAGGAGCTCCCTAAAGAAGCCGCTTCGAGGAAGCCTTGACAGAAACGCCTTGCAGGGGACCCTCTGAAGGAGCCGATCAAGGGACCCGATTAAAACTAGCCTTAAAGGGAACCCTACTAAGAACCTTCTAATACTTGAGCCCACCAAAACCTACTTTTCTTGTAGGGTCCCTCTAAATTCCATACTAGGGTTTATCATAAGAACCTACAAAAAAGTAGGCTCCGGCAGTTGAAGGTACCCTTACCCACCCCCGGGAGGATCCAAAAAGTAGATCCCTTTCTGGGGTTCCTTTCCAGTACCCTTCGTAGTATAGGGCCCCAAATTAGGGGATCTACTTTCCCTTCTAGATCCCTAAACCCTAAACCCCAAATTAGGGGATCTACTTTTCTAGATCCTCCCGGGGTCTGGGGTGGACTTGGAGGTTCATGGGCAGTTAGAAGGGTTCCTTTAAGGATCCTTTTTAAAGGGATCTACAAGGGATTCTATACGGGTATAGGGTTTAAGTACCCTTACATAAGGGCACCCTCTGCTTGTCGGCTCCAGGAGGCTGCGTGAAGGTGCTGAAGAGCTTCGGTGGCCTCAGAGCCCAGGCAGGGAAGTTGCAGCTCACATGGGTTTATTAGGGTTTAGTGTTCCGTGTTTAGGGTTTAGGGTTCCGGGTTTAGGATTTAGGGTTCAGGGGTTTGGGTAGGGATTTTGGGAAATTGTGCTTGCTTTTCGGGTGTTAGGGTTTACTGTTCTGCAGGTTTTTATCGAAGGATGAGGTCCGTGCGAAACCCGAGCCGAAAGAAGCGAAGGCAACACGTATCGTGCCCAAACGTACTATCGTTAGAAAATTCTAATAGTAATAATGATGGGATACTATACCTAGTTATTTCCACCCATCTACTGATCTACTGTTTAGGGTTTGGGGTTTGGGGCTTCTTAACATGTGGGTGTATTCTTGATCTTGCTTGCTGGTCCGGCATCAGGGTCGGCGATGGCCTGCAACTCCGAGATGCAGCGCTGGCAAGAATGCACTACCCGATGTGTGGTGACTGGGCTTCGGCTCTTTGAGGAGGTTCAACTCCGTGTCCTTCATTCGCATCCTGGGAAGCTGAGGAAGGTCCAGGAAGTCACACGGTGCAGCCGGCTCCTTTCATTTCTGTCGCTGAGCAATTGGATCTTGGATCTATCCAGGGCCGGTGTTTTGCATAACTTCACGATCGGGCAGTTGGGGGACAAGTATAACCTTGTATTTCACAATGTTTCCTTTAAGGAACCCGTCCTACAAAAAGCCTGCAAGCATGGTACTCCAGAGCCCAGGTAATTTAGCTTTGCTTGGTGGATTGGCACAGGGCATGGATGACAAAACTGTGCTAGAAAGAAACCCTGCTCTTTAAAACGCTATCAGACCCTGTATTCTCTACACCGCACAGCCTTTCTGAAAACCCTGTACCACTCTTTAACGAATCTTGCGCAATCCTCTTCAGTCCCACAAAAGCATGAGCAACATGCTAATTCCTGCAAGCACGAAAGAAAGCACTGCAAAACCACCGAAACTCCTGCAAAACCCGAACGCGCAGAATGCAAACGGTCACCGCAAACACCGTCAAGGGTTCTTTTGGGTTTAGTGGTTAGGGTGTGGGGTTTTAAGGGTTTCGGGTTTAGCGATTGAGGGGTTCGGGGTTTGGGGTTTGAGGGGCTTGATAGACCCTAAACCCTAAACCTCTTGGAGCTTAAGCCTAGTTACTTGTCGGGCATCATGGGGAACTAAAGCTACCCTTTTTGGCTATATGGGGATTATGTAGGGACTATACTACCCAAAAAAGTTAAAGGTTACCTACTCGACTACTAGGTAAGGCCGCGGGCCGAAACCCGAGCATGCTAACCGAGAGGCGGAGGCGTGAAGGAGTGGTTGGAGGTTACACTTGGCCTGTCCGTTTCCCAGACCATCCGAGAGGATCCCAAAAGTAGATCCCGTAATGGGGGTTCCTCTACAGTACCCTTCGTAGTATAGGGCCCCAAATTAGGGGATCTACTTTCTAGATCCTCCCGGGATTCTGGGTTACTGTCTGGTGCTCAGTAGGGAATGGGGGAATGGATTATGGAGACCGTTATTGGGGATTATATAGGGACTACTATAGGGATCCATACTCCCAGGCAGTTTACAGTGCATGTCGGACTGCAAGAGTTTTCAGCTTCCGTCTTTCAGAAGTTACACGAGGATAGCTCGCTGAACCAGCAAAGAGACCCTTAGCGGGGAGGGGGACGAGGGTAGGAATAGGCCTTATTGAATACTTATTATGGAAATTAAGGCCCCCTACCCCCCTCCCTTATGATCAACCAAGATCCCTCGGAACATCCCCAGAAGGAGGCTTCATCACGCTGACAACGAGGGCTCTGAACGGGGCCTCCGATTTGAGGAACCCGAGAGATCCCCAAACCACCTGACTGGCATCAAAGGATCCCAACCTTAGGTGCTGAACTCATAAGCCCCCCAAAGTGTAAACTTTTACCGTTATTCTGGGTGATGTTATCCCGATAAGTGTAACGTGTATCCACTCAACTACTAAGCAACCATAACAGGGCTCTGTGAGAATTTCATGGGCGCTTAGTCTAGAGGCCTTACTGACCGCAATGAGGTTCTGAAAGTATGTTACGAAATCCTAAAACCTAGATCCCAACACTATAGCGGGGCCACAGAAAACGATCACTCCCAACCGCTTTTGGCACAAAATCCAAAAGCTGTAAACAAACCATATACAACCTCTACCTACCTATCTATCTATATATATATATATATATATATTGACACCTTCTAATTTAAAAAAAAATATATGGAAGCACAAAAACACAGAACTTCATGCACATGCACACACAACCAAACTTTTGGGCCGGCCACAGGCCCCAGAAGAGCCACAACAAACTCCAGGCCAGAATCTGCATCCGGGCGTCGATCCTGTCATCGCTGTGGATCTTCTCAAATGTGCAAAACGTCATGAACATCTTCTCTTTTAACAGACTGCTTCTCTGTGAAGGCAGTTCCGAGAACTTTGCGAGAATACAGTCAGTTTGGAAGTGCAGCCCTTTCCGATGCCATGTATCGGCACGTCGTCTCCGTGCATAGCCAGCGGAAGACATTGGGTCTTGCAGTCCGGCTTGTCTTTCACAGGGTGCCTCAGGGTGCTCTTCCACGGCATCCCACCCTGCCGGCATGTCATCGGGGTATGGCAACAATGTCGGAATGCAACAGGATACCGTGTGGTCACCACAAACCGAAAGCCTCAACCTGAACCCTTCACCCTCAAACCCTCAAGCTCCAAAACCCTAACACCGCATGAACCCCTTGATGCATATTGAGACTGTAAACGGATATTATCAGGCTCACCAAGGATACTTCGAGAAGATTCTGAGCTTGTACATCTGTTGCCGGGTATTTTGCCAGGGTTTGGATGGTGTACGGTTAGAAACAAACCCCCGTAGGGTTTAGGGTTTAGGGGTTTAATGTTTGGGGCTCACCCTAAACCCTAAACTGGGTTTCCCCTTGCCTGCGTACATCCACTGAGGAGTTTTTGGATCTGGGAGACATCGCGGAGGACCTCGAGGGAAAGGAGCAGAAGGCGTTCGGGATGCAGGGGTTTAGGGAATGCCCACGTAAGATACCAAATAATACTCCAAACAAGTAAATAAACTGCTATCAAAGAAACAATAATGTACATATATATATATATGTACACATCTGCACCGAGCCGGAATTGCCTGAGACGAGTCCGAAAAGGGGTCGGGTCGAGCCCAAGACAGAAAGTCACTCCCGACTCAAAAACCCCCAAACCCTGGAACCAAAACCATGATGTGGCATCATTTAGCAAACTTAATTGTAAAACTATGTAGCTTCTATTTGACTATTGCTTTGGACAAGTATGCATGTACTTCTGGGGCATACGGTGTGTGGCTTATGCGGGTGGGGGGGGTGGGTATGAGAGAATCTAGGGTACGCTTGGTAAAAACAGGGAATCTGGAATCTATAGAACCTCGGGAACTCCGGGAATATGACATGTATGCATGTGTGTATTTTTATATGCCGGTCGATCTATCCATCTACCTACCTGGCTAGCTATCTATCCACCCATCCATCTGTCCATCTGTACTGGAATACATGGTTTCAGAAAATCTAAAGGGGCTCCTGTGGTTAAATACTGAACGTAATTGGTCCCAGGGCTCGCTGTTTCAGGCACATCTTGTGATGTTCGCAATGCTTTGCTCGACGAAGGTCTGTCAACTGATGCATTTAGTGACTTCCATTCTCACATGTCCCAAAACCCTGAGACAAGTAACCAAAAGGCTACACCCCACACAGGCCTGAAAGCCTCAGAACCTCATCCCCAAATCCTGCAAGGCAAACCCCCCTCACGGGGTTGCAGCAGGCTTTTGGTCTCGGGGAACCCTGAACGCTAACATCCCCTAAGCCCTGAACCCTAAAGCAATCAGCCCCAAAAGACTACAGCCCAAAACCCAAACCTGAATCGTATCAACATCCAAATGTTAGCCCTCAAGCAAATGCCTGCCACAATGTTTTACCCAATAAGAAGCCCATAAAAGCAAGGAACATGAAGCAATCCTGTCACTGCCTTGTCGAGGGTGCGGAGCTGGTACTCATGTACTTCGCAACGGGCATGCCTGTCAGTCTCGTTCGCAATTTGTAGAAAATCATGGCATTTGTCATTAGAAGCGTTTAGGGGTTTCAAGCTTGAGGGGTTTTCTGGCTTTAGGGCTTTTGGACCAGCTTCCGGCTGAGGGCCGTGTGGTTTAGGGCTAGCTTGGAAAGGCTGGGTAGCCCGTAGAATTGTGATATATATATATATATATTATCATATATAATATATTATATTTTATTATACTATATTAAACTATATTATATTATATTATATTTTATTTTATTATATTATATATTATATTATTATATAATTTATATTATATACTATATATTATATATTATATTATATTATATTATATTATATTATATTATATTATATTATATATTATATATTATATTATATCATATATTATATATTATATTATATTATACTATATTATATTATATATTATATATTATTATATATTATTATATATTATTATATATTATTATATATTAATATATATTATTATATTATATTATATTATATTATATTATATTATATTATATTATATTATATTATATTATATATTATATTATATCATATATTATATATTATATATTATATATAATATATAATAATATAATATAGCATAATCTATTATAATATAACCTATTATAATATAATATATTATAATATACTATAATACAATATACTATAAAAATATAATATAATATAATATATTATAATATAACCTTTTATAATATAATATAACATAATATAATATGATATAATATAATATAATATGATATAATAGAATATAATATAAGAACTGCACCTGTCGCCCAGCTAGCTGCAGCTCAAACTGGACACATCACGAAAGCGCCGGCGCTTGCGGGTTAGTACAGAGCGGACAAAGGCTTGCACGACTGAGAGCATGGACTTACTTCAGGAGTCCACCT